GGAAGAGGAAAAGCGGGAGGAAGAGGCGCCCCAACACCACGAGGTTCCCGCGCTCCGGCCGCAGCTGCCCCGGCCCCGCCGGCATCGCCGCCCGGAGGCCGCAGGTGAGCGGAGAGGGGGAGCTCGGCCCGACCCCATCGCGGGGGTCTCCGGGAGGGTTTTGTGGGGCAGGGGAGGCAAATCCCATCGTGTCCTTGTCCCCACGGGGGCAAATCCCATCGTGTCCTTGTCCTTGCTCCCCCAGAGCAGGAGCTGAGCATGGAGAGCAGCGAGGAGCTGGTGGCAGAGGCCGTTTGGAGCGGCTCCACGGCTCGGCAGGGAGAAGCCAACGGGGAGGAGAAGCCGCGGAGATCCCTGAGCAGGAGGGGCTGCAAAGGCAGAGCGCGGGGATCCGAGGGGGCAAGAGCCAGCCTGGGCCATGGAGGGGCTCAGAGATCCGAGCTGGGGCTCCATGAGCAGCTGCAGGGTGGGGAGGAGAAGCCCCACAAGTGCTCCGAGTGTGGGAAGAGCTTCAGGTGGAGATCCAACCTGACTGTCCACCTGAGGAGCCACACGGGGCAGAGGCCCTACGAGTGTGATCAGTGCCAGAAGAGGTTTGTGACCAGCTCTGATCTCGTGGTGCACCAGCGCTCACACACAGACGAGAGGCCTTTCCAGTGCCCCGACTGCGGGAAGCGCTTCAAAAGCGTCTCCGACCTCAAGAGGCACCGGCGCATCCACTCCGGGGAGAGGCCCTACGAGTGTGGTCAGTGCCAGATGAGGTTCCTGAGCAGCTCCAAGCTCCTCCGTCACCAGCTCATCCACACCGGGGAGAGGCCGTTCCAGTGCTGTGACTGTGGACAGAGTTTTAGACGCAACTCCCACCTCAACAGTCACCGGCGCATCCACACCGGGGAGAGGCCCTATGAGTGTCCCCAGTGTGGGAAGAGTTTCAACCAGAGCTCCCATCTGACTGGTCACCTCAGAAGCCACACCGGGGAGAGGCCCTACGAGTGTGATCAGTGCCAGAAGGGCTTTTACACCTCGTCTGAACTCCTCAGTCACCAGCGCATCCACACGGACGAGAGGCCCTTCCGCTGTCCTGATTGTGGGGTGGGATTCAAGCACAACTCAACTCTGGTCACACACAGGAGGATCCACACCGGGGAGAGACCCTACAAGTGTTCCCAGTGTGGGAAGTGCTTTTCTCGAATTTCCAGCTTGAGCAGACACCTACAGAGCCAGCACTGAGGACAGCCCTGGGTGGGCAGAGCTCCGTGGCCTTTTCCAGCTCCATGTCACACGGGAGGATCTGCTCTGGATGGTCCCCAGTGAGCCCAGGTGGGCAGAGCCCCCTTGACTCCTGCTTGCAGCACACCAGGCTGGGGGCTCCACATCCTCCTGGCTCCTCGTGGCCTGGATTTCCTTTTGATTTCTCTTTGTTTTTTTTATACACCTTTCTAAATCCGAGGTGAAGAATAAAGATGTTGAACGAAGACCAGGATGTGGACTTGGGGGGGATCTTCCAGGGGATGAGGGGGATGCTGGGCCAGGGGGAGTTGAGGGTTCCTGGGACAGATTTGGGGCTTCCTTAGGACCTAGGGAACCCCATGGTCCCCATTCCCTGTCCCCATTCCCGGTCCTTATCCCCAGTCTGGGTTCCTATTCCCTGCCTCCATTCCTTGTCTCCATTCGTGGTCCCTGTCCCAAATACTGGTCCCCATTCCCTGTTCCCATTCCTGGTCTGAATTCCCGTTCCCCATTCCCTGTCCCCAATCACGCTCCCTGTCCGCATTTCCAGTTCCATTACCAGTCCCCATTCCTTGTCCCGATTCCTGGTCCATGTCTCCATTCCCGGTCACCGTTCCCATTCCCGTTCCCCATTCCCATTCCTTGTCCCGGTCCCCATTCCCGGTCTCCATTCCCTCTCCGCTCTCTCCGGACGCTTCAGCCCCCGCCTCCCGCCATGACGTCGCCGGGCAAACCTCGCGCTGCTCCCCCCCCTCCAATCGCAGCGCGCTATCGGTCCGAGATTTGCATAACCACGCCCATTCGGGCCGGCCCCGCCCGCCGCCCGGCGCAGTTCCCTCCCAGCGCTCCCAGTAAGAGCGGCACCGGCAGGGAAAGCGCTCCCAGTTCCCTCCCAGTACCGCTCCCAGTATCGCTCCCAGCGCTCCCAGTATCGCTCCCAGCGCTCCCAGTATCGCTCTCAGTGCAGAGAGGAGGGAGAGAAGGAGGAGCGGGAGGAAGAGGAGGGACTGAGGAGGAAGGAAAGGAGGAGCAGGAGCGCGAGAGGAGGAGGAAGAGGAGGAGGAGGGACACGGGAGGAGCAGGAGGAGGAAGAGGAGGGATAGAGGAAGAGGAGGAGCGGGAGGAAGAGCGGCCGCATCAGCCCCGGAGCCCGCAGGTGAGCGCGGATGGGGGAGCTCGGTCTAACTGGGAGCGCTGGGAGCGATACTGGGAGCGCTGGGAGCGATACTGGGAGCGCTGAGAGCGGTACTGGGAGCGCTGGGAGGGAACTGGGAGCGCTGATTTATTATTTTGTATTAGTTATTATTTATTATTGTATAGGGCTGATTTAGTATTTTATGATGTATATTACATTAAAATGTTTTATTTTATGATAAATATTATATTAAAATAATTTTTATCATAAAATTATTATAATATATTAATTATAATATATTTTTATTTCATGATATATATTATATTAAAAGAAAAATAAATTTTAAGACTATATGTAATAATTAGAATTATAGTTTTTTAATGATATACATTAAAAGATAGTTATTTATTCAAAATATAGATATTAATAGAGATCTTAATTTAAATTATATTTATTTTTTTATAATATATATTCTAAAAAGAGAATATTATTTAATAAAACCACATATCTTATTTAAAAATATGTTTGTTATTTTATGCTATGTATTATATTAAAAGACAACCATATAGTAAAAATATATACATGAATATATTAATTAAAATATATTTATTATCTTTTTATATTTAACTACATTTAAAGAGAATTATATATTGAAACTTTTATATTAATTTAAATTATATTTTTAAGATATATATTGTATTTAAAGAAAATACTATGTTAAAACTGTATGTATTAACATAGATATAAATTAAAATTGTATATATAAAGATATATATTAAAAGAAAATTATGCAATAAAACCATACTAAAAATAGAAGAAAAGATTTCTTTAGACGGTTTAAAAGGAAAAAATCCTGAAAGGAATGATAACAAAAGCTGCTGACCCTGAGAGAATCCAAGCCCACTCCCCATGATTGGCCATGAATTAAAAACAAATTTAAAACAAATTAGAAACAACCAGTACGGCCAATTCCCAGCTGTGCCTGTTGCATTCCACAGCCGCAGATAATTCTTGTTTATCTTTTCCCCAGAGGCTCCTCAGCTGCTCAGGAGAGGGGAAAAAACCCTAAAAAAAGAGATTTTTCAGGAAATCTCGAGGAAGGCAGGGCCCCTTTTAACCCTCTGTGTGCTGGGGCAGCTGCCAGCCCGGCCTGGGGGGGAAAAAAGGGGGGTGGGGGCAAATCCTGTCCTGGGATGGGGGCAAATCCCAAAGGCTGTCCTGAATTGTGGGGCAAATCCCACCCTGTCATTGGTGTGGGGCAAACCCCAAATCCCATCCTGAATTTTGGGGGAAATCCCACCCTGTCATTGTCCCCATGGGGGCAAATCCCATCGTGTCCTTGTCCCCATGGGGGCAAATCCCATCGTGTCCTTGTCCTTGCTCCCCCCGAGCAGGAGCTGAGCATGGAGAGCAGCGAGGAGCTGGTGGCAGAGGCCCTTTGGAGCGGCTCCACGGCTCGGCAGGGAGAAGCCAACGGGGAGGAGAAGCCGCGGAGATCCCTGAGCAGGAGGGGCTGCAAAGGCAGAGCGCGGGGATCCGAGGGGGCAAGAGCCAGCCTGGGCCATGGAGGGGCTCAGAGATCCGAGCTGGGGCTCCATGAGCAGCTGCAGGGTGGGCAGGAGAAGCCCCACAAGTGCTCCGAGTGTGGGAAGAGCTTCAAGAGGAGATCCACCCTGACTGCCCACCTGAGGAGGCACACCGGGGAGAGGCCCTAAGAGTGTGATCAGTGCCAGAAGGGCTTTTACACCTCGTCTGAACTCCTCAGTCACCAGTGCATCCACAGGGACGAGAGGCCCTTCCGCTGTCCCGATTGTGGGGTGGGATTCAAGTACAACTCAGCTCTGGTTAGACACAGGAGGATCCACACAGGGGAGAGACCCTACAAGTGTCTCCAGTGTGGGGAGAGCTTCTCTAAAATCACTACCTTGAGAAGACACCAGAAGAGCCAGCACTGAGGGCAGCCCTGGGTGGGCAGAGCTCTGTGGCCTTCTGCAGCTCCATCTCACACGGGAGGATCTGCTCTGGATGCTCTTCAGTGAGCCCAGGCGGGCAGAGCCCCCTTTAATCCGGCTTTAAGAACACCTGGCTGGGCGCTCCACATCCACCTGGCTCCTCGTGGGCTGGATATTCTTTTTTTCCCTCCTTGTCATTTTTATACACATTTTTTAATCCGATGTTAATAATAAAGACAGCTAAGAAAGATGAGGATGTGGACATGGGGGGATCTTCCAGGGGATGAGGGGGATGCTGGGATAGAGGGAGTTCAGGATTCCTGGGACTGATTTGGGGTTTCCTTAGGACTTTGGGAACCCCACGGTCCCCATTCCCTGTCCCCATTACCATTCCGGCTTCTTGTCCCCAGTCTAGGTCCCCATTCCCTGCCTCCATTCCCAGTCCCCATTCCCGCTCCGCTTTCTCCGGACGCTCCAGTTCCTACCCCCGCCATGACGTCACCGAGGAAATCCCGCGCTCCTCCCTCCCACCAATGCCAGCGCGCGATCGCCCCCTCATTTGCATAACCACGCCCTCGCTCCGCTTCTATTTTGGTTTCGGCGGTGCACGGGCGGCGGAAGGAGGAGGAGGAAGAGGAGGGACAAAGGAAGAGGAGGGACAAAGAAAGAGGAACGCCGGGAGGATGAGGCGCCCCAACACCACGCGGTTCCCCCGCTCCGGCCGCAGCTGCCCCCGCCCCGCCGGGATCGCCCCCCGGAGCCCGCAGGTGAGCGGAGAGGGGGAGCTCGGCCCGACCCCATCGCGGGGGTGTCCGGGAGGGTTTTTGTGGGGCAGGGGAGGCAAATCCCATCGTGTCCTTGTCCCCACGGTGGCAAATCCCATCGCGTCCTTGTCCCCATGGGCGCAAATCCCATCGTGTCCTTGTCCCCACGGGGGTAAATCCCATCGTGTCCGTGTCCCCACGGGGGCAAATCCCATCGTGTCCTTGTCCCCATGGGGGCAAATCCCATCGTGTCCTTGTCCTTGCTCCCCCAGAGCAGGAGCTGAGCATGGAGAGCAGCGAGGAGCTGGTGGCAGAGGCCGTTTGGAGCGGCTCCACGGCTCGGCAGGGAGAAGCCAACGGGGAGGAGAAGGCGCGGAGATCCCTGAGCAGGAGGGGCTGCAAAGGCAGAGCGCGGGGATCCGAGGGGGAAAGAGCCAGCGTAGGCCATGGAGGGGCTCAGAGATCCGAGCTGGGGCTCCATGAGCAGCTGCAGGGTGGGCAGGAGAAGCCCCACAAGTGCTCGGAGTGTGGGAAGAGCTTCAGTTTGAGATCCTGCCTGATTGTGCACCAGAGAATCCACACGGGATCTGAGGTGGAAAAACCCACCCTGGACCAGGGTCAGAGCTCAGAGCTGGGGCTCCATGAGCAGCTCCAGGATGGGCAGGAGAAGCCCCACAAGTGCTCTGAGTGTGGGAAGAGCTTCAGGTGGAGATCCCGCCTGAATGTCCACCTGAGGAGCCACACGGGGGAGAGGCCCTATGAGTGTAATGAATGCCATCAGAGGTTTTACACCAATTCCCATCTCGTGAGTCACCAGCGCATTCACACACGAGCGGGCATTTTGCTGTCCTGATTGTGGAAAGGGATTCAGGCAAAGGTCCAGCCTCGTCATCCACCAGCGAATCCACACTGGGGAGAGGCCCTATGAGTGTGGGGAGTGTGGCAAGCGCTTCAGAGAGAGCTCCAGCCTGACTGTCCACCTGAAGAGCCACACCGGGGAGAGGCCCTACGAGTGTGGTCAGTGCCAGATGAGGTTCCTGAGCAGCTCTGATCTCCTCCGTCACCAGCTCATTCACACTGAAGAGAGGCCGTTCCACTGCCATGACTGTGGGAAGGGATTCAGGCACAACTCCAAACTCATCGTCCACCGGCGCATCCACACCGGGGAGAGACCACACGAGTGTCCCCAGTGTGGGAAGGGATTCAGAGAGAGCTTCAGCCTGACTGTCCACCTGAGGAGCCACACAGGGGAGAGGCCCTATGAGTGTCCCCAGTGTAGGAAGAGTTTCACCCAGAGCTTCAGCCTGACTGTGCACCTGAGGAGCCACACCGGGGAGAGGCCCTACGAGTGTGATCAGTGCAAGAAGGGCTTTAACACCTCCTATGATCTCATCAGGCACCAGCGCATCCACACGGACGAGAGGCCCTTCCGCTGTCCCGAATGTGGGGTGGGATTCAGGCAGAACTCAAATCTGGTCAGACACAGGAGAGTCCACTCTGCGGACTGACCCTAGAAGTGTCCCCAGTGTGAGAAGAGCTTCTTGCAGAGCTCAGGGCTGGTGTCCCACCAGAAGATCCACACCAGGGAGAGACTCCACAAGTGTCCCCAGTGTGGGAAGAGCTTCTCTAAAACCTCTGCCCTGACCAGACACCAGAAGAGCCAACACTGAGGGCTGCCCTGGGTGGGAAGAGCTCCGTGCGCTGCTTCAGCTCCATCTCACACAGGAGGATCTGCTCTGGATGGTCCCCAGTGAGCCCAGGTGGGCAGAGCCCCCTTGACTCCTGCTTGCAGCACACCTGGCTGGGGGCTCCACATCCTCCTGGCTCCTCGTGGCCTGGATTTTCTTTTTATTTATCTTTGTTATTTTTATACACCTTTCTAAATCCCAAGTTAATAATAAAGACATTGAACCAAGACAAGGATGTGGACATGGGGGGATCTTCCAAGGGATGAGGGGGATGCCGGGCCAGAGCGGGCTGAGGGTTCCTGGGACAGATTTGGGGCTTCCTTAGGACTTTGGGCACCCCATGGTCCCCATTCCCTGTCCGCATTCCCGCTCCTTCTCCCCAGTCTGGGTCCCCATTCCCTGCCTCCATTCCCTGTCCCCATTCCCGGTCGCTGTCCCTAATACGGGTCCCCATTCCCTGATCCCGTTCCTGATCCGCATTGCCGGTCCCCATTCCCTGTCCCCAATCCCGCTCCCTGTTCACATTCCCGGTTCCATTTCCATTCCCGGTCCCCATTCCCGGTCCCTGTCCCCATTCCCGCTCCGCTCTCTCCGGCCGCTCCAGCGGCCCCCCCGCCATGACGTCACCGAGGACACCCTGCGCTCCTCCCTCCCACCAATCCCAGCGCGCGATCGCTCCCTGATTTGCATAACCGCGCCCTCACCCCGCCTGTATTTTGGTGCCGGCGCTGCCCGGGCGGGACTCGGAGCGGAAGAGGAGCGGGAGGAAGAGGTGGGGGAGAAGGAGGGGGAGGAAGAGGAGGGACAAAGGAAGAGAAGGGAAAACGGAACAGGAACACCGGGAGAAAGAGGCGCTCCAAGACCACGCGGTTTCCCCGCTCGGGCCGCAGCATCCCCAACCCCGCCGGCATCGCTCCCCGGAGGCCGCAGGTGAGCGGAGAGGGGGAGCTCGGCCCGACCCCATCGCGGGGGTGTCCGGGAGGGTTTTTGTGGGGCAGGGGAGGCAAATCCCATCGTGTCCTTGTCCCCACGGTGGCAAATCCCATCCTGTCCTTGTCCCCATGTGGGCAAATCCCATCGTGTCCTTGTCCGTGCTCCCCCCGAGCAGGAGCTGAGCATGGAGAGCAGCGAGGAGCTGGTGGCAGAGGCCGTTTGGAGCGGCTCCGCGGCTCGGCAGGGAGAAGCCAACGGGGAGGAGAAGGCGCGGAGATCCCTGAGCAGGAGGGGCTGCAAAGGCAGAGCGCGGGGATCCGAGGGGGCAAGAGCCAGCGTGGGCCATGGAGGGGCTCAGAGATCCGAGCTGGGGCTCCATGAGCAGCTCCAGGGTGGGCAGGAGAAGCCCCACAAGTGCTCCGAGTGTGGGAAGAGCTTCAAGCGGAGATGCGACCTGATGCAGCATTGCAGAATCCACACGGGGGAACGACCCTACGAGTGTGATGTGTGCAAGAAGAGGTTCCTGAGCAGCTCCCATCTGCTCCGTCACCAGCGGATTCACACCGAGGAGCGGCCGTTCCGCTGTCCTGATTGTGGGAAGGGATTCAGGGAAAATTCCACTCTCACCACCCACCGGGGCATTCACACCGGGGAGATGCCCTACAAGTGTGATCAGTGCCAGAAGAGGTTCCTGAGCAGCTCCCATCTCCTCAGTCACCAGCTCATTCACACTGAAGAGAGGCCGTTCCACTGCCGTTACTGCGGGCAGGGATTCAGTCGCAAGTCTGCCCTCGTCGTCCACCGGCGCATCCACACCGGGGAGAGACCCCACGAGTGTCCCCAGTGTAGGAAGGGCTTCACCCAGAGCTCCCATCTGACTGTGCACCTGAGGAGCCACACCAGGGAGAGGCCCTATGAGTGTCCCCAGTGTGGGAAGAGTTTCAACCGGAGCTCCCATCTGACTGTCCACCTCAGAAGCCACACAGGGGAGAGGCCCTACGAGTGTGATCAGTGCCAGAAGGGCTTTTACACCTCGTCTGATCTCCTCGTTCACCAGCGCATCCACACGGACGAGAGGCCCTTCCGCTGTCCCGATTGTGGGGTGGGATTCAAGCGCAACTCAACTCTGGTCACACACAGGAGGATCCACACTGGGGAGAGACCCCACAAGTGTCCCCAGTGTGGGAAGAGCTTCACCCAGAGCTCCAACCTGACTGTCCACCTGAGGAGCCACACCGGGGAGAGGCCCTATGAGTGTCCCCAGTGTGGGAAGCGTTTCACCCAGAGCTCCAACCTGACTGTCCACCTCAGAAGCCACACCGGGGAGAGGCCGTACAAGTGTGCGGAGTATGGGAAGAGCTTCATGACCAAGCACAACCCGATTGTCCACCGGAGGAGCCACACGGGTGAACGACCCTACAAGTGTGACCAGTGCAAGAAGAGGTTTCTGACCAGCTCTGATCTCGTGGTGCACCAGCGCTCACACACAGACGAGAGGCCCTTCCAGGGCCCCGACTGCGGGAAGGGCTTCAAAAGCGTCTCCACCCTCAACCAGCACCGGCGCATCCACACCGGGGAGAGGCCCTACGAGTGTGGTCAGTGCCAGAAGAGGTTCGTGACCAGCTCCGAGCTCCTCAGCCACCAGCGCATTCACACCGGGGAGAAGCCGTTCCACTGCCGTGAGTGTGGGAAGGGATTCAGGCGCAACTCTGCCCTCGTCGTCCACCGGCGCATCCACACTGGGGAGAGACCCCACGAGTGTCCCCAGTGTGGGAAGAGCTTCAGAGAGAGCTCCAGCCTGACTGTGCACCTGAGGAGCCACACTGGGGAGAGGCCCTATGAGTGTCCCCAGTGTGGGAAGAGCTTCTCTAAAACCTCCAATTTGACCAGACACCTACAGAGCCAGCACTGAGGGCAGCCCTGGGTGGGAAGAGCTTCATACACTGCTCCAGCTTCATCCCCCACGGGAGGATCCGTGCTGGATGATCCCCAGTGAGCCCAGCAGGGCAGAACCCCCTTGATTCCTGTGTACAAGACACCTGGCTGGGGGCTCCACATCCTCCTGGCTCCCCGTGGTCACCTGAACTCATCCGCAGTCCAAGATGAGAAATGGGTTATGGAGAGCAGATTCGTCAACTTCTGACCCTAGAAAAATGTTGTCCTTTTTTTTTTTTCCATCTTTTGGTGATCTTCAGCAACACTAGATAGCCTTGGATGGCTTCTCCAATATCAATCCACCCCCCTTGGGAGGATCCCCTGTGAGCCCAGGGGAGCAGAACCCCCTTGATCCCTCTTTGGAGAACACCTGGCTGAGGGCTCCACATCCTCCAGGATTTTTCAATTTCTAGCCCTTGAAAAGTCTAATTTTTTCCAACTTTTGGTGGTATTAAGCAACACTAGATATCCTTGGATGTCTTCTCCACCATGGGAGGATCTGCTCTGGATGGTCCCCAGTGAGCCCAGGGGGGCAGAGCCCAGGTGATCCCTGTTTGGAGCACACCTGGCTGAGGGCTCCACATCCTCCTGGCTCGTCATGGCCTGGATTTTCTTTTTATTTCTCTTTGCCCTTTCCAAAAACCCAAATCTGTGGCTGAAAATGAAGACATTAAAATAAAGCAAGGATGGGCATGAGGGGGATGCTGGGTCCATGGAGTTGAGGGTTCCTGGGACAGATTTGGGGGTTCCTCAGGGCTTTGGGCACCCCAGGCCCAGCAGCTCCATCTGGGGCAGCAGATCAAGGACCCCCTGCCCTGGCAGTGTCCCCACGTCCTCCCGTCCTGGTTCCTGCTGTCCCCTGTCCAGGATCCTGCTCTCATCCGAGTCCAGATCCCATTCCTGTCTCAATACTTGTCCCTGTCCCATATTCTCTATCTGGTTGCCATTCCCGTATTTCCTGTTCCCCTTTTCCTATTCCAGTCCCCAATTCCCATTTCTCTATTTACTGTTTTGTTCTCCTTTTCCTATTCCAGTCCCTAATTCCCATTTCTCTATTTCCTGTCCTGTTTCCATTTTCCTATTCCAGTCCCCAATTCCCATTTGTCTATTTACTGTTGTGTTCTCCTTTTCCTATTCCAGTCCCTAATTCTTCTTTCTGTATTCCCTGTCCTGTTCCCATTTTCTGATTCCTGATCCCAATCCCAGCCCCTCTCCTGTATTCCCAGTCCAGTATTCACGCTCCTGTCACAGAAATATTTTATTAAAGAATCTTCTCCTTTGGATCTTTTCCTCCTGAGGAGCTGAGAGGCCTCAAGATTTAAAGTAAACACTAATGATCTGCTGCTTTGGAATGCAGCAATTTCGCCTCGATTAGTTTATGTGGCTGTTTTTAATTAATGACCAATTTAAATTTGGCTCTCTCAGACTCTCGGTTTACTCACAAGATTTATAATAATAATTTTCTTTTATTTTCTAGCTTTCTGATGAAATCCTTGTTTCCTAAAAATCTGGTATAATTTTAATATAGAATTTTCTTGCAATATATTATATCAATAATAAAGTAATAAATTAGCTTTCTGAAAAAAAAATCATGGAGTCAAAATTTTCGTCTCTTCTATCATCTTGGGACCCCAGTGACCACCACAGGGTCCCTTTTCCGTTCCCGGTGCCCGATCCCCGTCCCGATTCCCCGTTCCCGCCATGACGGCACCGAGCAAACCTCGCGCTCCTCCCCCCCACGAGTCGCAGGGCGCGATTGCTCCCTAATTTGCATAACCACGCCCTCGCTCCCCGCCTGCTTTTGGGTGCCGGCGCTGCCCGGGCCGGAGTCGGAGCGGAGGAGGAGCGGGAGGAAGAGGAGGGGGGAGGAAAGAAGGAGGAGGAAGAGGAGGGACAAAGGAAGTGGAGGTACAAGGAAAGAGGAGAGACAAAGGAAACGGTAAAAGGAGGAACAAAGGAAGAGGCGGGACGAAGGAAGAGGAAGAGCGGGAGGAAGAGGTGGGACAAAGCAAGAGGAGAGAAAAAGAAAGAGGAAAAGGAGGGACAAAAGAAGAGGAGGGACAACGGAAAAGGAACACCGGGAGGAAGAGGCGCCCCAACCCCGCGCGGTTCCCCAGCTCCGGCCGCAGCTCCCCCCGCCCCGCCGGCATCGCCCCGGGAGGCCGCAGGTGAGCGGAGAGGGGGAGCTCGGCCCGACCCCATCGCGGGGGTCTCCGGGAGGGTTTTTGTGGGGCAGAGGAGGCAAATCCCATCGTGTCCTTGTCCCCACGGTGGCAAATCCCATCGTGTCCTTCTCCGCACGGGGGCAAATCCCATCGTGTCCTTGTCCTTGCTCCCCCAGAGCAGGAGCTGAGCATGGAGAGCAGCGAGGAGCTGGTGGCAGAGGCCGTTTGGAGCGGCTCCACGGCTCGGCAGGGAGAAGCCAACGGGGAGGAGAAGGCGCGGAGATCCCTGAGCAGGAGGGGCTGCAAAGGCAGAGCGCGGGGATCCGAGGGGGAAAGAGCCAGCGTGGGCCATGGAGGGGCTCAGAGATCCGAGCTGGGGCTCCATGAGCAGCTGCAGGGTGGGCAGGAGAAGCCCCACAAGTGCTCCGAGTGTGGGAAGAGCTTCAGGAGGATATCCTGCCTGATTGTGCACCAGAGAATCCACACGGGATCTGAGGGGGAAAAACCCACCCTGGACCAGGGTCAGAGCTCAGAGCTGGGAGTCCATGAGCAGCTCCAGGGTGGGGAGGAGAAGCCCCACAAGTGCTCCGAATGTGGGAAGAGGTTCACCAGGAAATCCTACCTTACTGTCCACCTGAGGAACCACACAGGGGAACGACCCTATGAGTGTGATCAGTGTAAGAAGAGGTTTCAGAGCAGTGGTGAGCTCCGCAAGCACCAGTGCATTCACTCTGAGGAGAGGCCCTACGAGTGCGATCAGTGCCAGAAGAGGTTCCGGACCAGCTCCGAGCTCCACAGGCACCAGCGGATCCACACCGGCGAGAGGCCATTCCGCTGCCCTGATTGTGGGAAGGGCTTTAGGGGCAGCTCTGCCCTCATCTTGCACCTGCACATCCACACTGGGGAGAAGCCCTACGAGTGTGATCAGTGCAAGAAGAGGTTCCTGAGCATCTCCACCTTTGTTAAACACCAGATGATCCACACGGGGCAGAAGCCCTACGAGTGTGATGTGTGCAAGAAGAGGTTTCAGAGCAGCGCCACTCTTCGTGCGCACCAGATCATCCACACCGACGAGCGACCGTTCCGCTGTCCTGACTGTGGGAAGGGATTCAGGCACAACTGCCACCTCATCACCCACCGGCGCCTCCACACTGGGGACACACCCTACAAGTGTGGGGAGTGTGGGAAGGGCTTCACCTCAAGCTCCCACCTGACTGTCCACCAGAGGACCCACACCGGGGAGAGGCCCTACAAGTGTGATCAGTGCAAGAAGAGGTTCCCGAGCAGTGGGGATCTCCTCAAGCACCAGCGCATCCACACCAAGGAGAGGCCGTTCCGCTGTCCTGATTGTGGGATGGGTTTCAAGTACAACTCCGCCCTCATCGTCCACCAGAACATCCACACTGGGGAGAGACCCCGCGAGTGTCCTCAGTGTGGGAAGAGCTTCACCAACAACTCCAGCCTGGTTTAACACCTGAGGAGCCACACCGGGGAGAGGCCCCACGAGTGTGGAGAGTGTGGGAAGAGCTTCATGTACAAGTCCCACCTGATTTACCACCAGAGGAGCCACACTGGGGAACGACCGTACGAGTGTGACCAGTGCCAGAAGACGTTTCAGAGCAGCTCCCATCTCCACATGCACCAGCGCTCACACACGGACGAGAGGCCCTTCCGCTGCCCTGACTGTGGGAAGAGCTTCAGGCACAAGGCCGAACTCGTCGCCCACCAACGCATCCACACCGGGGAGAGGCCCTACGAGTGTGATCAGTGTGAGAAGAGGTTCCTGAGGAGCGCTTGTCTCCTCCGTCACCAGCTCATCCACACCGAGGAGAAACCGTTCCGCTGCCGTGACTGCGGGAAGGGCTTCACTCAGAAGAGCACACTCATCACCCACCGGCGAATCCACACCGGAGAGAGACCCCACGAGTGTCCCCAGTGTGGGAAGAGCTTTTGTCAAATCTCCAGCTTGACCAGACACCAAAAGAGCAAGCACTGAGGGCAGCCCTGTTTGGAAAGAGCTCCATGGGCTTCTCCAGCTCCATCTCACACAGGAGGATCTGCTCTGGATGATCCCCTTGAGCCCAGGTGGGCAGAGCCCCCTTGACTCCTGCTTGCAGCACACCTGGCTGGGGGCTCCACATCCTCCTGGCTCCGCATGGCCTGGATTTTCCTTTTATTTCTCTATGTTATTTTTATACACCTTTCTAAATCCGAGGTTAATAATAAAGATGTTGAACGAAGACAAGGATGTGGACATGGGGGGATCTTCCAGGGGATGAGGAGGATGCTGGGCCAGGGGGAGTTGAGGGTTCCTGGGAAAGATTTAGGGCTTGCCCAGGAATTTGGGCTCCCCATGGTCCCCATTCCGTGTCCCCATTACCATTTCTGCTCCTTCTCCCCAATCTGGGTCCCCGATACTGGTCCCCATTCCCAGTCCTTATCCCCAGGCTGGGTCCCCATTCCCTGCCTCCATTCCCTGTCCCCATTCCCGGTCCCTGTTTCCAATACTGGTCCCAATTCGCTGTTCCCATTCCTTGTCCGCATTCCAGGTCACCATTCCCTCTCGCCAATCCCGCTCCCTGTCCGCATTCACGGTTCCATTCCCAGGCCCCATTCCTTGTCCCCATTCCCGGTCCATGTCCCCATTCCCGGACCCGATTCCCATTCCCTGTCCCCATTCCCTGTCCCGATTCCCGCTCCCCATTCCCGCTCCCCATTTCCCGTCCCTGTTCCCATTCCCGGTCCCCATTCCCGGTCCGCTCTCTCCGGACGCTCCAGTTCCACCCCAGCAATGACGTCACCGAGCACACCCCGCGCTCCTCCCTCCAACCAATCCCAGCGCGCGATCGCTCCCGGATTTGCATAACCACGCCCTCACCCCCCCTGTATTTTGGTGCCGGCGCTGCCCGGGCCGGACTCGGAGCGTAGGAGGAGCGGGAGGAAGAGGAGGGGGAGAAGGAGGAGGAGGAAGAGGAGGGACAAAGGAAAAGGAGGGACAAAGGAAAGAGGACAGATAAAGGAAAAGGAAAAGGAGGGACAAAGGAACAGGAAGCGCGGGAGGAAGAAACGCCCCAACACCTCGCGGTTCCCCCGCTCCGGCCGCAGCTGCCCCGGCCCCGCCGGCATCGCCGCCCGGAGGCCGCAGGTGAGCGGAGAGGGGGAGCTGGGCCCGACCCCATCGCGGGGGTCTCCGGGAGGGTTTTTTGTGAGGCAGGGGAGGCAAATCCCATCGTGTCCTTGTGCCCATGGGGGCAAATCCCATCGTGTCCTTGTCCCCATGGGCGCAAATCCCATCGTGTCCTTGTCCCCACGGGGGCAAATCCCATCGTGTCCTTGTCCCCATGGGGGCAAATCCCATCGTGTCCTTGTCCTTGCTCCCCCCGAGCAGGAGCTGAGCATGGAGAGCAGCGAGGAGCTGGTGGCAGAGGCCGTTTGGAGCGGCTCCACGGCTCGGCAGGGAGAAGCCAACGGGGAGGAGAAGGCGCGGAGATCCCTGAGCAGGAGGGGCTGCAAAGGCAGAGCGCGGGGATCCGAGGGGGAAAGAGCCAGCGTGGGCCATGGAGGGGCTCAGAGATCCGAGCTGGGGCTCCATGAGCAGCTGCAGGGTGGGCAGGAGAAGCCCCACAAGTGCTCCGAGTGTGGGAAGAGCTTCAGGAGGAGATCCTGCCTGATTGTGCACCAGAGAATCCACACGGGATCTGAGGGGGAAAAACCCACCCTGGACCAGGGTCAGAGCTCAGAGCTGGGAGTCCATGAGCAGCTCCAGGGTGGGCAGGAGAAGCCCCACAAGTGCTCCCAGTGTGGGAGCAGCTTCAGGAGGAGATCCCGCCTGAATGTCCACCTGAGGAGCCACACGGGGGAGAGGCCCTATGAGTGTAATGAATGCCATCAGAGGTTTTACACCAATTCCCATCTCGTCAGTCACCAGCGCATTCACACCGACGAGCGGCCATTTTGCTGTCCTGATTGTAGAAAGGGATTCAGGCAAAGGTCCAGACTAGTCATCCACCAGCGAATCCACACTGGGGAGAGGCCCTATGAGTGTGGGGAGTGTGGCAAGAGCTTCAGAGAGAGCTCCAGCCTGACTGTCCACCTGAAGAGCCACACCGGGGAGAGGCCCTACGAGTGTGATCAGTGCCAGAAGAGGTTCCTGAGCAGCTCCAACCTCCTTAGCCACCAGCTCATTCACACTGAAGAGAGGCCGTTCCACTGCCGTGACTGTGGGAAGGGATTCAGGCACAACTCCAACCTCATCGTCCACCGGCGCATCCACACCGGGGAGAGACCACACGAGTGTCCCCAGTGTGGAAAGGGATTCAGAGAGAGCTTCAGCCTGACTGTCCACCTGAGGAGCCACACAGGGGAGAGGCCCTATGAGTGTGATCAGTGCAAGAAGGGCTTTAACACCTCGTCCCATCTCCTCCGTCACCAGCGCATCCACACGGACGAGAGGCCCTTCCGCTGTCCTGATTGTGGGATGGGATTCAAGCACAACTCAGCTCTGGTCACACACAGGAGGATCCACACCGGGGAGAGGCCCTATGAGTGTCCCCAGTGTGGGAAGAGCTACACTAACAGCTCCCACCTGACTGTGCACCTGAGGAGCCACACCGGGGAGAGGCCCTATGAGTGTGATCAGTGCAAGAGTGGCTTTAACACCTCCTATGATCTCATCAGGCACCAGCGCATCCACACGGACGAGAGGCCCTTCTGCTGTCCCGATTGTGGAGTTGGATTCAAGCAGAACTCAAATCTGGTCAGACACAGGAGGGTCCACTCTGGGGACAGACCCTAGAAGTGTCCCCAGTGTGGGAAGAGCTTCTCACAGAGCTCAGGGCTGGTGTCCCACCAGAAGATCCACACCAGGGAGAGACTCCACAAGTGTCCCCAGTGTGGGAAGAGCTTCTCTAAAACCTCTGCCCTGACCAGACACCAGAAGAGCCAACACTGAGGGCTGCCCTGGGTGGGAAGAGCTCCGTGCGCTGCTTCAGCTCCATCTCACACGGGAGGATCTGCTCTGGATGGTGCCCAGTGAGCCCAGGGGGCAGAGCCCCCTTGACTCCTGCTTGCAGCACACCTGGCTGGGGGCTCCACATCCTCCGGGCTCCTCGTGGCCTGGATTTTCTTTTTATTTATCTTTGTTATTTTTATACACCTTTCTAAATCCCAAGTTAATAATAAAGACATTGAACCAAGACAAGGATGTGGACATGGGGGGATCTTCCAAGGGATGAGGGGGATGCCGGGCCAGAGGGAGTTGAGGGTTCCTGGGACAGATTTGGGGCTTCCTTAGGACTTTGGGCACCCCATGGTCCCCATTCCTTGTCCGCATTCCCGCTCCTTCTCCCCAGTCTGGGTCCCCATTCCCGGTCTCCATTCCCTGTCCCCATTCCCGGTCGCTGTCCCTAATACGGGTCCCCATTCCCTGATCCCGTTCCTGATCCGCATTGCCGGTCCCCATTCCCTGTCCCCAATCCCGCTCCCTGTCCACATTCCCGGTTCCATTTCCATTCCCGGTCCCCATTCCCGGTCCCTCTCCCCATTCCCGCTCCGCTCTCTCCGGACGCTCCAGCTGCCCCCCCGCCATGACGTCACCGAGCACACCCTGCGCTCCTCCCTCCCACCAATCCCAGCGCGCGATCGCTCCCGGATTTGCATAACCACGCCCTCACCCCGCCTGTATTTTGGTGCCGGCGCTGCCCGGGCGGGACTCGGAGCGGAGGAGGAGCGGGAGGAAAAGGTGGGGGAGAAGGAGGGGGAGGAAAAGGAGGGACAAAGGAAGAGAAGGGAAAACGGAACAGGAACACCGGGAGGAAGAGGCGCCCCAAGACCACGCGGTTTCCCCGCTCGGGCCGCAGCTGCCCCGGCCCCGCCGCCATCGCCCCCCGGAGGCCGCAGGTGAGCGGAGAGGGGGAGCTCGGCCCGACCCCATCGCGGGGGTGTCCGGGAGGGTTTTTGTGGGGCAGGGGAGGCAAATCCCATCGTGTCCTTGTCCCCATGGGGGCAAATCCCATCGTGTCCTTGTCCTTGCTCCCCCCGAGCAGGAGCTGAGCATGGAGAGCAGCGAGGAGCTGGTGGCAGAGGCCGTTTGGAGCGGCTCCACGGCTCGGCAGGGAGAAGCCAACGGGGAGGAGAAGGCGCGGAGATCCCTGAGCAGGAGGGGCTGCAAAGGCAGAGCGCGGGGATCCGAGGGGGAAAGAGCCAGCCTGGGCAATGGAGGGGCTCAGAGATCCGAGCTGGGGCTCCATGAGCAGCTCCAGGGTGGGCAGGAGAAGCCCCACAAGTGCTCCGAGTGTGGGAAGAGCTTCAGGAGGAGATCCTGCCTGATGAGACATTGCAGAATACACACGGAGGAACGACCCTACGAGTGTGATGTGTGCAAGAAGAGGTTCCTGAGCAGCTCCCATCTGCTCCGTCACCAACTGGTTCACACCGAGGAGCGGCCGTTCCGCTGTCCTGATTGTGGGAAGGGATTCAGGGAAAATTCCACTCTCACCAGCCACCGGGGCATTCACACTGGGGAGATGCCCTACAAGTGTGATCAGTGCCAGAGGAGGTTCCTGAGCAGCTCCCATCTCCTCAGTCACCAGCTCATTCACACTGAGGAAAGGCCGTTCCACTGCCGTGACTGTGGGCAGCGCTTCAGGCACAACTCCAACCTCATCGTCCACCGGCGCATCCACACCGGGGAGAGACCCTACAAGTGTCCCCAGTGTGGGAAGAGATTCACCTCGAGCTCCCATCTGACTGTGCACCTGAGGAGCCACACCGGGGAGCGGCCCTATGAGTGTCCCCAGTGTGGGAAGAGTTTCAACCGGAGCTCCCATCTGACTGTCCACCTCAGAAGCCACACCGGGGAGAGGCCCTACGAGTGTGATCAGTGCCAGAAGAGCTTTTACACCACGTCTGATCTCCTCAGTCACCAGCGCATCCACACGGACGAGAGGCCCTTCCGCTGTCCTCATTGTGGGGTGGGATTCAGGCACAACTCAGCTCTGGTCAGACACAGGAGGATCCACACCGGGGAGAAACCCTACAACTGTTCCCAGTGTGGGAAGAGCTTTTCTCGATTTTCCCACTTGACCAGACACCTGCAGAGCCAGCACTGAGGGCAGCCCTGGGTGGGAAGAGCTCCGTGCGCTGCTCCAGCTCCATCTCACACGGGAGGATCTGCTCTGGATGGTCCACAGTGAGCCCAGGTGGGCAGAGCCCCCTTGACTCCTGCGTGCAGCACACCTGGCTGGGGGCTCCACATCCTCCTGGCTCCTCGTGGCCTAGATTTTCTTTTTATTTCTCCTTGTTATTTTTATACACCTTTCTAAATCGGAGGTTAATAAGAAAGACGTTGAACCAAGACAAGGATGTGGACATGGGGGGATCTTCCAAGAGATGAGGGGGATGCTGGGCCAGGGGGAGTTGAGGGTTCCTGGGAGAGATTTGGGGCTTCCTTAGGACTTTGGGCACCCCATGGTCCCCATTCCCGCTCCTTCTCCCCAGTCTGGGTCCCCATTCCCGGTCCCCATTCCTTGTCCCGATTCCCGATCCATGTCCCCGTTCCCGGTCCCCATTCCCATTCCCGGTCCCCATTCCCGGTCCCCATTCCGGCTCCGCTCTCTCCGTACTCTCCAGCTGCCCCCCCCCCCGCCATGACGTCACCGAGCAAAGCCCGCGCTCCTCCCTCCCACCAATCCCAGCGCGCGATCGCTCCTGGATTTGCATAATCACGCCCTCGCTCCCCGCCTGCTTTTGGGTGCCGGCGCTGCCCGGGCCGGGCTCGGAGCGGAGGAGGAGCGGGAGGAAGAGGAGGCGGAGAAGGAGGAGGAGGAAGAGGAGGGACAAAGGAAGAGCAGGGACAAGGAAAGAGGAGAGACAAAGGAACAGATTAGGGAGGGAGAAACGAAGAGGAAGAGGAGGGACAAAGGAAGAGGAGGGACAACGGAAGAGGAACACCTGGAGGAAGAGGCGCCCCAACACCACGCGGTTCCCGCGCTCCGGCCGCTGCTGCCCCGACCCCGCCGGCATCGCCCCCCGGAGCCCACAGGTGAGCGCAGAGTGGGAGCTCGGCCCGACCCCATCGCGGGGGTCTCCGGGAGCGTTTTTGTGGGGGGCAGGGGAGGCAAATCGCATCGTGTCCTTGTCCCCACGGGGGCAAATCCCATCGTGTCCTTGTCCCCATGGGGGCAAATCCCATCGTGTCCTTGTCCTTGCTCCCCCAGAGCAGGAGCTGAGCATGGAGAGCAGCGAGGAGCTGGTGGCAGAGGCCGTTTGGAGCGGCTCCACGGCTCGGCAGGGAGAAGCCAACGGGGAGGAGAAGGCGCGGAGATCCCTGAGCAGGAGGGGCTGCAAAGGCAGAGCGTGGGGATCCGAGGGGGCAAGAGCCAGCCTGGGCCATGGAGGGGCTCAGAGATCCGAGCTGGGGCTCCATGAGCAGCTCCAGGGTGGGCAGGAGAAGCCCCACAGGTGCTCGGAGTGTGGGAAGAGCTTCAGGAGGAGATCCTGCCTGATTGTGCACCAGAGAATCCACACGGGATCTGAGGGGGAAAAACCCACCCTGGACCAGGGTGAGAGCTCAGAGCTGGGGGTCCATGAGCAGCTCCAGGATGGGGAGAAGAAGCCCCACAAGTGTTTGGAATGTGGGAAGTGCTTCATGTTCAGTTCGAAACTGATCGAGCACTGCAGAATCCACGCGGGCGAGGGGTTCTACAAGTGTGGGGCGTGTTGGAAGAGCTTCATGCTGAGTTCCGACTTCGTTGCCCACCTGAGGAGCCATACTGGGGAGAGGCCCTACAAATGTGATCAGTGCAAGAAGAGGTTCCTGCGGAGCTGCCATCTCCTAAAGCACCAGCGCATTCACAGTGAGCAGAAGTCGATCCGCTGCCCTGATTGTCGGAAGAGTTTCAGTCACATCTCTGCCCTCATTTTCCACCGGCACATCCACAATGGGGAGAGTCCCTACAAGTGTGATCAGTGCCAGAAGAGGTTTCAGAGCAGCTGCCGGCTCCTCAGTCACCAGCGAATTCACACCGAAGAGAGGCCGTTCCGCTGTCCTGATTGTGGGATGGGATTCAAGCACAAATCTGCCCTTGTCGTCCACCGGCGAATCCACACCGGGGAGAGACCCCACGAGTGTCCCCAGTGTAGGAAGAGCTTCAGAGAGAGCTCCAGCCTGACTGCCCACCTGAGGAGCCACACCGGGGAGAGGCCCTATGAGTGTCCCCAGTGTGGGAAGCGTTTCACCAAGAGCTGCAATCTGACTATCCACCTCAGAAGCCACACCGGGGAGAGGCCCTACAAGTGTGATCAGTGCCAGAAGGGCTTTTACACCTCGTCTGAACTCCTCAGTCACCAGCGCATCCACACGGACGAGAGGCCCTTCCGCTGTCCCGATTGTGGGGTGGGATTCAAGCGCAACTCAACTCTGGTCACACACAGGAGGATCCACACTGGGGAGAGACCCTACAAGTGTCCCCAGTGTGGGAAGAGCTTCAGAAACAGCTCCAACCTGACTGTCCACATGAGGAGCCACATGGGGGAGAGGCCCTTCGAGTGTGATCAGTGCAAGAAGAGGTTTCAGCGTTGCTTCCATCTCCTCCGTCACCAGCGCATCCACACGGATGAGAGGCCCTTCCACTGTCCTATTGTGGGGTGGGATTCAAGCACAACTCAATTCTCGTCAAACACAGGAGGATCCACACTGGGGAGAGACCCTACGAGTCTCCCCAGTGACGGAAGAGCTTCTCTAAAATCTCTACCTTGACCAGACACCTACAGAGCCAGCACTGAGGGCACCCCTGGGTGGGCAGAGCTCCGTGGCCTTTTCCAGCTCCATGTCACTCAGGAGGATCCACTCTTGATGATCCCCAGTGAGCCCAGGTCGGCAGAGCCCCCTTGTTGCATGTTTGGAGGACACCTGGCTGGGGGCTCCGCATCATCCTGGCTCCTCGTGGGCTGGATTTTCTTTTTATTTCTTCTTGTTATTTTTATACACCTTTCTAAATCCGAGGTTGATAATAAAGACGTTGAACAAGACGAGGATGTGGACATGGGAGGATCTTGCGGGGGTTGAGGGGGATGCTGGGCCAGAGGGAGTTGAGGGTTCCTGGGACTGATTTGAGGCTTCCTTAGGACTTTGGGAACCCCACAGTCCCCATTCCCTATCCCCATTCCCAGTCGTTATCCCCAGTCTGGGTTCCTATTTCCTGCCTCCATTCCCTGTCCCCATTCATGGTGCCTGTCCCCAATACTGGTCCCCATTCCCTGTTCCCAATCCCGCTCCCTGTCTGCTTTTCTGGTTCCATTACCATTCCCAGTCCCCATTCTTTGTCCCGATTCTCGTTCCATGTCCCCATTCCCGGTCCCCGTCCCCATCCCCAGTCCCCATTCCCATTCCTTGTCCCGGTCCCCATTCCTTGTCCCCATTCCCGGTCCCCATTCCCCGTCCTTTTTCCCATTCCCGCTCCTTTTCCCCAGTCTGGGTCCCTATTCCCGGTCCCCATTCCCTGTCCCGATTCCCGGTCTCCATTCCCGCTCCGCTCTCTCCGGACGCTTCAGCCCCCGCCTCCCGCCATGACGTCGCCGGGCAAACCCCGCGCTCCTCCCGCCCACCAATCGTAGCGCGCGATCGCTCTTAGATTTGCATAACCACGCCCATTCGGGCCGGCCCCCCCCGCCTCCCGGCGCTATTCGCTCCCAGCGCTCCCAGTATCGCTCCCAGCGCTCACAGTTCCCTCCCAGTATCGCTCCCAGTATCGCTCCCAGCGCTCCCAGTTCCCTCCCAGCGCTCCCAGTCCCCTCCCAGTATCGGTCCCAGTGCAGGGAGGAGGGAAAGAAGGAGGAGCGGGAGGCAGAGGAGAGACTGAGGAGGAAGGAAAGGAGGAGCGAGGGCGAGTGGAGGAGGAAGAGGAGGAGCAGGGACACGGGGGACCAGGAGGAGGAGGAGGAGGGACACAGGAAGAGGAGGAGCGGGAGGAAGAGCGGCCGCATCACCCCCGGGGCCCGCAGGTGAGCGCCGGTGGGGGAGCTCGGTCTTACTGGGAGCACTGGGAGCGATGCCAGGAGCGATACTGGGAGCGCTGGGAGGGAACTGGGTGCACTGGGAATGAACTGGGAGGACAGATCTATTAATTTCTATTAGTTATTATTTACTATTTTATAGGGCCGATTTATTATTTTTTTGATATATATTACACAAAAAATTAGTTTTTATGGTGTATATTATATTAACAGAAAATCGTATATTAAAGTTATATATATTAATATAATAATTAAAATGTAATTATTATATTTTTATTAATTTAATAATTAAAATGTATTTATTATCTTATTATATTCTATCATATTTAAAGAAAATTATATATTAAAACTATATATATTAATATAATAATTGAAGTTATATTTTTAAGATATATATTCTACCTAAAGAAAATTATATATTAAAACTATATGTATTAATATAGATATTAATTAAAATTGTATATATAAAGATATATATTAAAAGAAAATTATACATTAAAACAATACTAAAGAAAGAAGGAAAGATTTCTTTAGAAGGCTCAAAAGGAAAAAACCCTGAAAGGAATGATAACAAAAGCTGCTGACCCTGAGAGAATCCGAGCCTGCTCCCCATGATTGGCCATGAATTCAAAACAAATTAAATACAAATAAAAAACACCCAGTGCGGCCCAATCCCGGCCGTGCCTATTGCATTCCACAGCCGCAGATAATTCTTGTTTATCTTTTCCCCAGAGGCTCCTCAGCTGCTCAGGAGAGGGGAAAAAACCCTAAAAAAAGAGATTTTTCAGGAAATCTCGAGGAAGGCAGGGCCCCTTTTAACCCTCTGTGTGCTGGGGCAGCTGCCAGCCCGGCCTGGGGGGGGAAAAAGGGGGGTGGGGGCAAATCCTGTCCTGGGATGGGGGCAAATCCCAAATGCCGTCCTGAATTGTGGGGCAAATCCCATCGTGTCCTTGTGGGGCAAATCTCAAATCCCACCCTGAATTGTGGGGCAAATCCCATGTTGGGATGGAGGAAAATCCCAAATGCCGTCCTGAATTGGGGGACAAATCCCTTCCTGAACTTGTGGGGTAAATCCCAACCTGAATTCTGGGGCAAATACCAAATCCCAAATCTCATCCTCAAATGTGGGGCAAATCCCATCGTGTCCTTGTCCCCACGGGGGCAAATCCCATCGTGTCCTTGTCCCCGTGGGGGCAAATCCCATCGTGTCCTTGTCCTTGCTCCCCCCGAGCAGGAGCTGAGCATGGAGAGCAGCGAGGAGCTGGTGGCAGAGGCCGTTTGGAGCGGCTCCACGGCTCGGCAGGGAGAAGCCAACGGGGAGGAGAAGGCGCGGAGATCCCTGAGCAGGAGGGGCTGCAAAGGCAGAGCGCGGGGATCCGAGGGGGAAAGAGCCGGCCTGAGCCATGGAGGGGCTCAGAGATCCGAGCTGGGGCTCCATGAGCAGCTCCAGGGTGGGCAGGAGAAGCCCCACAAGTGCTCCGAGTGTGGGAAGAGCTTCAAGAGGAGATCCTGCCTGATTGTGCACCAGAGAATCCACACGGGATCTGAGGGGGAAAAACCCACCCTGGACCAGGGTCAGAGCTCAGAGCTGGGGGTCCATGAGCAGCTCCAGGGCGGGCAGGAGAAGCCCCACAAGTGCTCTCAGTGTGGGAAGAGCTTCAAGCGGAGATGTGACCTGATGCAGCATTGCAGAATCCACACGGGGGAACGACCTTACAAGTGTGATGTGTGCAAGAAGAGGTTCCTGAGCAGCTCCCATCTGCTCCGTCACCAGCTCATTCACACCGAGGAGAGGCCGTTCCACTGCCGTGACTGCGGGCAGCGCTTCAGGCGCAACTCCCACCTCATCGTCCACCGGCGCATCCACACCGGGGAGAGGCCACACGAGTGTCCCCAGTGTGGGAAGGGATTCACCTCGACCTCCAGCCTGACTGTCCACCAGAGGAGCCACACCGGGGAGAGGCCCTACGAGTGTGATCAGTGCCAGAAGGGCTTTTACACCTCGTCTCAACTCCTCGTGCACCAGCGCATCCACACGGACGAGAGGCCTTTCCGCTGTCCCGATTGTGGTGTGGGATTCAAGCGCAACTCAAATCTGGTCAGACACAGGAGGATCCACACTGGGGAGAGACCCCACAAGTGTCCCCAGTGTGGGAAGAGCTTCACCCAGAGCTCCAACCTGACTGTCCACCTCAGAAGCCACACCGGGGAGAGGCCGTACAAGTGTGCGGAGTATGGGAAGAGCTTCATGACCAAGCACAACCTGATTGTCCACCGGAGGAGCCACAGGGGTGAACGACCCTACAAGTGTGACCAGTGCAAGAAGAGGTTTCGGAGCAGCGGTGATCTCGTGGTGCACCAGCGCTCACACACGGACGAGAGGCCCTTCCAGTTCCCCGACTGCGGGAAGGGCTTCAAAAGCGTCTCCACCCTCAACCAGCACCGGCGCATCCACACAGGGGAGAGGCCCTACGAGTGTGGTCAGTGCCACAAGAGGTTCCTGACCAGCTCCGAGCTCCTCAGCCACCAGTTCATTCACACCGAGGAGAGGCCGTTCCACTGCCGTGAGTGTGGGAAGGGATTCAGGCGCAACGCTCCCTCATCGTCCACCGGCGCATCCGCACCGGGGAGAGACCCCACGAGTGTCCCCAGTGTGGGAAGAGCTTCTCTAAAACTTCCTCTTTGACCAGACACCTACAGAGCCAGCACTGAGGGCAGCCCTGGGTGGGCAGAGCTTCATACACTGCTCCAGCTGCATCCCCCACGGGAGGATCCGTGCTGGATGATCCCCAGTGAGCCCAGCAGGGCAGAACCCCCTTGATTCCTGTGTACAAGACACCTGGCTGGGGGCTCCACATCCTCCTGGCTCCCCGTGGTCACCTGAACTCATCCGCAGTCCAAGATGAGAAATGGGTTATGGAGAGCAGATTCGTCAACTTCTGACCCTAGAAAAATGTTGTCCTTTTTTTTTTTCCATCTTTTGGTGATCTTCAGCAACACTAGATAGCCTTGGATGGCTTCTCCAATATCAATCCACCCCCCTTGGGAGGATCCCCTGTGAGCCCAGGGGAGCAGAACCCCCTTGATCCCTCTTTGGAGAACACCTGGCTGAGGGCTCCACATCCTCCAGGATTTTTCAATTTCTAGCCCTTGAAAAGTCTAATTTTTTCCAACTTTTGGTGGTATTAAGCAACACTAGATATCCTTGGATGTCTTCTCCACCATGGGAGGATCTGCTCTGGATGATTCCCAGTGAGCCCAGGGGGGCAGAGCCCAGGTGATCCCTGTTTGGAGCACACCCGGCTGAGGGCTCCACATCCTCCTGGCTCGTCATGGCCTGGATTTTCTTTTTATTTCTCTTTGCCCTTTCCAAACACCCAAATCTGTGGTTGAAAATATAGACATTAAAATAAAGCAAGGATGGGCATGAGGGGGATGCTGGGTCCATGGAGTTGAGGGTTCCTGGGACAGATTTGGGGGTTCCTCAGGGCTTTGGGCACCCCAGGCCCAGCAGCTCCATCTGGGGCAGCAGATCAAGGACCCCCTGCCCTGGCAGTGTCCCCACGTCCTCCCGTCCTGGTTCCTGCTGTCCCCTGTCCAGGATCCTGCTCTCATCCGAGTCCAGATCCCATTCCTGTCTCAATACTTGTCCCTGTCCCATATTCTCTATCTGGTTGCCATTCCCGTATTTCCTGTTCCCCTTTTCCTATTCCAGTCCCCAATTCCCATTTCTCTATTTACTGTTTTGTTCTCCTTTTCCTATTCCAGTCTCTAATTCCGATTTCTCTATTCCCTGTCCCGTTCCCATTTTCTGATTCCGGATCACAATACCAGCCCCTCTCCTGTATTCACAATCCCAGTCCAGTATTCACGCTCCATTTAAATAAAATGTGTCATGGACATATTTTATTCAAAAATCCTTTCCTTAGTATCTTTTTCTCCTCAGAAGCTGAGAGGCCTCAAGAATGAAATTTCAACACTAAGTATCTGCTGCTGTGGAATGCAGCAATTTCATCATAGATAGGTCTCGTGGTTGTTTTTAATTAATGGCCAATCAAAGCTCAGCTATATCAGACTCTCTGGTCACTCACAAGATTTCATTGTCATTCTTTTTTATTATTTTCTACCTTTCTGTTGCAATCCTCTTTTCTATTCTTGTAGTATAATTTCAATATAGCATAATCTTTCAATATCATATATCAATAATAAAATAATAAATCAGCTTTCTCAAAATAAAAACATGGAGTCATAATTTTAATCTCTTGCCTCATCTTGGGACCCCGGTGAAAACCACAGGGTCCCTTTTCCGTTCCCGGTGCCCGTTTCCCGTCCCGATTCCCCGTTCCCGCCATGACGTCACCGAGCAAAGCCCGCGCTCCTGCCCTCCACCAATCCCAGCGCGCGGTCGCCTCAGGATTTGCATAACCACGCCCTCGCTCTCCGCCTGCTTTTGGGTGCCGGCGCTACCCGGGCCGGACTCAGAGCGGAGGAGGAGCGGGAGGAAGAGGGGGGGAGGGAAGGAGGAGGAACAGGAAGAAAAGGGACAAAGGAAGAGGAGGGACAACGGAACAGGAACACCGGGAGGAAGAGGCGCCCCAACACCACGCGGTTCCCCCGCTCCGGCCGCAGCTGCCCCGGCCCCGCCGGCATCGCCCCCCGGAGCCCGCAGGTGAGCGGAGAGGGGGAGCTCGGCCCGACCCCATCGCGGGGGTGTCCGGGAGGGTTTTTGTGGGGCAGGGGAGGCAAATCCCATCGTGTCCATGTCCCCACGGGGGCAAATCCCATCGTGTCCTTGTCCTTGCTCCCCCCGAGCAGGAGCTGTGCATGGAGAGCAGCGAGGAGCTGGTGGCAGAGGCCGTTTGGAGCGGCTCCACGGCTCGGCAGGGAGAAGCCAACGGGGAGGAGAAGGCGCGGAGATCCCTGAGCAGGAGGGGCTGCAAAGGCAGAGCGCGGGGATCCGAGGGGGAAAGAGCCGGCCTGGGCCATGGAGGGGCTCAGAGATCCGAGCTGGGGCTCCATGAGCAGCTGCAGGGTGGGCAGGAGAAGCCCCACAAGTGCTCCGAGTGTGGGAGGAGGTTTAGGTGTAGGTCCAAACTGACTTTCCATCTGAGGAGCCACACGATGGAACGACCCCACGACTGTGACCAATTTCAGAAGAGGTTTGTGAGCAGCTCTGATGTCCGCAAGCACCACTGCTCACACACAGACGAGAGGCCCTTCCAGTGCCCCCACTGCGGGAAGGGCTACAAAAGCGTCTCCGACCTCAACAGGCACTAGCGCATCCACACCGGGGAGAGGCCCTACGAGTGTGGTCAGTGCCAGAAGAGGTTCCTGAGCAGCTCCCATCTCCTCCGTCACCAGCTCATTCACACCGGGGAGAGGCCGTTCCACTGCCGTGAGTGCGGGCAGAGCTTCAGGTGCAACTCCAACCTCATCAGGCACCGGTGCATCCACACAGGGGAGAGGCCCTTAAAGTGTCGCCAGTGTGGGAAGAGCTTCACCCAGAGCTCCCATCTGACTGTCCACCTCAGAAGCCACACCGGGGAGAGGCCCTACGAGTGTGATCAGTGCCAGAAGAGCTTTTATACCACGTCTGAACTCCTCAGTCACCAGCGCATCCACACGGACGAGAGGCCCTTCCGCTGTCCTCATTGTGGGGTGGGATTCAGGCACAACTCAGCTCTGGTCAGACACAGGAGGATCCACACCGGGGAGAAACCCTACAAGTGTTCCCAGTGTGGGAAGAGCTTTTCTCGATTTTCCCACTTGACCAGACACCTGCAGAGCCAGCACTGAGGGCAGCCCTGGGTGGGCAGAGGTCCGTGCGCTGCTCCAGCTCCATCTCACACGGGAGGATCTGCTCTGGATGGTCCACAGTGAGCCCAGGTGGGCAGAGCCCCCTTGACTCCTGCGTGCAGCACACCTGGCTGGGGGCTCCACATCCTCCTGGCTCCTCGTGGCCTAGATTTTCTTTTTATTTCTCCTTGTTATTTTTATACACCTTTCTAAATCGGAGGTTAATAAGAAAGACGTTGAACCAAGACAAGGATGTGGACATGGGGGGATCTTCCAAGAGATGAGGGGGATGCTGGGCCAGGGGGAGTTGAGGGTTCCTGGGAGAGATTTGGGGCTTCCTTAGGACTTTGGGCACCCCATGGTCCCCATTCCCGCTCCTTCTCCCCAGTCTGGGTCCCCATTCCCGGTCCCCATTCCTTGTCCCGATTCCCGACCCATGTCCCCGTTCCCGGTCCCCATTCCCGGTCCCCATTCCCGCTCCGCTCTCTCCGTACTCTCCAGCTGCCCCCCCCCGCCATGACGTCACCGAGCAAAGCCCGCGCTCCTCCCCCCCACCAATCCCAGCGCGCGATCGCTCCTGGATTTGCATAATCACGCCCTCGCTCCCCGCCTGCTTTTGGGTACCGGCGCTGCCCGGGCCGGGCTCGGAGCGGAGGAGGAGCGGGAGGAAGAGGAGGCGGAGAAGGAGGAGGAGGGACAAAGGAAGAGCAGGGACAAGGAAAGAGGAGAGACAAAGGAACAGATTAAGGAGGGAGAAACGAAGAGGAAGAGGAGGGACAAAGGAAGAGGAGGGACAACGGAAGAGGAACACCGGGAGGAAGAGGCGCCCCAACCCCACGCGGTTCCCGCGCTCCGGCCGCTGCTGCCCCGACCCCGCCGGCATCGCACCCCGGAGCCCAAAGGTGAGCGCAGAGGGGGACCTCGGCCCGACCCCATCGCGGGGGTCTCCGGGAGCGTTTTTGTGGGGGGCAGTGGAGGCAAATCGCATCGTGTCCTTGTCCCCATGGGGGCAAACCCCATCGTGTCCTTGTCCCCACGGGGGCACATCCCATCGTGTCCTTGTCCCCATGGGGGCAAATCCCATCGTGTCCTTGTCCTTGCTCCCCCCGAGCAGGAGCTGAGCATGGAGAGCAGCGAGGAGCTGGTGGCAGAGGCCGTTTGGAGCGGCTCCGCGGCTCGGCAGGGAGAAGCCAACGGGGAGGAGAAGCCGCGGAGATCCCTGAGCAGGAGGGGCTGCAAAGGCAGAGCGCGGGGATCCGAGGGGGCAAGAGCCAGCGTGGGCCATGGAGGGGCTCAGAGATCCGAGCTGGGGCTCCATGAGCAGCTCCAGGATGGGCAGGAGAAGACCCACAAGTGCTCCGAGTGTGGGAAGAGCTTCAGGTGGAGATCCTGCCTGATGCAGCATTGAAGAATCCACACAGGGGAACGACCCTACGAGTGTGGGGAATGCGGGAAGACCTACATGTCCAAGTGCCACCTGATTTACCACCAGACGAGCCACACGGGGGAACGACCCTACCAGTGTGAACAGTGCAAGAAGAGGTTTCGGAGCAGCGGTGATCTCGTGGGGCACCAGCGCTCACACACAGACGAGAGGCCCTTCCAGTGCCCCGACTGCCGGAAGAGCTTCAAAAGCGTCTCCCACCTCAACAGGCACCAGCGAATCCACACCGGGGAGAGGCCCTACGAGTGTGGTCAGTGCCAGAAGAGGTTCCTGAGCAGCACCAAGCTCCTCCGTCACCAGCTCATTCACACCGAGGAGAGGCCGTTCCACTGCCATGACTGCAGGCAGAGCTTCAGGCACAACTCCAACCTCATCGTCCACCGGCGCATCCACACCGGGGAGAGACCCCACGAGTGTCCCCAGTGTGGGAAGAGTTTCACCCTGAGCTGCAATCTGACTGTCCACCTCAGAAGCCACACCGGGGAGAGGCCCTACGAGTGTGATCAGTGCAAGAAGGGCTTTTACACCTCGTCTGATCTCCTCAAGCACCAGCGCATCCACACGGACGAGAGGCCCTTCCGCTGTCCCGATTGTGGGGTGGGATTCAAGCAGAACTCAAGTCTGGTCAGACACAGGAGAGTCCACTCTGCGGACAGACCGTAGAAGTGTCCGCAGTGTGGGAAGAGCTTCTCGCAGAGCTCAGGGCTGGTGTCCCACCAGAAGATCCACACCAGGGAGAGACTCCACAAGTGTCCCCAGTGTGGGAAGAGCTTCTCTAAAACCTCTACCTTTAGCAGACACCAGAAGAGCCAGCACTGAGGGCAGCCCTGGGTGGGAAGAGCTCCTTGGGCTTCTCCAGCTCCATCTGACACGGGAGGACCTGCTCTGGATGGTCCCCAGTGAGCCCAGGTGGGCAGAGCCCCCTTGACTCCTGCTTGCAGCACACCTGGCTGGGGGCTCCACATCCTCCAGGCTCCTCGTGGCCTGTATTTCCTTTTTTTTCTCTCTGTTATTTTTATACACCTTTCTAAATCCGAGGTTAATAATAAAGACGTTGAACCAAGATGAGGATGTGGACATGGGGGGATCTTCCAGGGGATGAGGGGGATGCTGGGCCAGAGCGGGCTGAGGGTTCCTGGGACATATTTGGGGCTTCCTTAGGACTTTGGGCACCCCATAGTCCCCATTCCTTGTCCCCATTCCCGCTCCTTCTCCCCAGTCTGGGTCCCCATTCCCGGTCTCCATTCCCTGTCCCTATTCCCGGTCGCTGTCCCCAATACAGGTCCCCATTCCCTGATCCCGTTCCTGATCCGCATTGCCGGTCCCCATTCCCTGTCCCCATTCCCGGTCCCTCTCCCCATTCCCGCTCCGCTCTCTCCGGACGCTCCAGCTGCCCGCCCGCCATGACGTCACCGAGCACACCTTCCGCTCCTCCCTCCCACCAATCCCAGCGCGCGATGACTCCCTGATTTGCATAACCACGCCCTCACCCCGCCTGTATTTTGGTGCTGGCGCTGCCCGGGCGGGACTCGGAGCGGAGGAGGAGCGGGAGGAAGAGGAGGGGGAGAAGGGGCGGGAGGAAGAGGAGGGACAAAGGAAGAGAAGGGAAAACGGAACAGGAACACCGGGAGAAAGAGGCGCCCCAAGACCACGCGGTTTCCCCGCTCGGGCCGCAGCTGCCCCAACCCCGCCGGCATCGCCCTCCGGAGGCCGCAGGTGAGCGGAGAGGGGGAGCTCGGCCCGACCCCATCGCGGGGGTCTCCGGGAGGGTTTTTGTGGGGCAGGGGAGGCAAATCGCATCGTGTCCTTGTCCCCATGGGGGCAAATCCCATCCTGTCCTTGTCCCCACAGGGGCAAATCCCATCGTGTCCTTGTCCTTGCTCCCCCTGAGCAGGAGCTGAGCATGGAGAGCAGCGAGGAGCTGGTGGCAGAGGCCGTTTGGAGCGGCTCCACGGCTCGGCAGGGAGAAGCCAACGGGGAGGAGAAGCCGCGGAGATCCCCGAGCAGGAGGGGCTGCAAAGGCAGAGCGCGGGGATCCGAGGGGGCAAGAGCCGGCCTGGGCCATGGAGGGGCTCAGAGATCCGAGCTGGGGCTCCATGAGCAGCTGCAGGGTGGGCAGGAGAAGCCCCACAAATGCTTGGAGCGTGGGAAGAGCTTCAGGTGGAGATCCTGCCTGATGCAGCATTGCAGAATCCACACCGGGGAGCGACCCTACGAGTGTGACCAATGCCGGAAGAGGTTTCGGAGCAGCTCTGAACTCGTGGGGCACCAGCGCTCACACACGGACGAGAGGCCCTTCGAGTGCCCCGATTGCGGGAAGCGCTTCAAAAGCGTATCCCACCTCAACAGGCACCAGCGAATCCACACAGGGGAGAGGCCCTACGAGTGTGATCAGTGCCAGAAGAGGTTCCTGAGCAGCACCAAGCTCCTCCGTCACCAGCTCATTCACACCGGGGAGAGGCCGTTCCACTGCCGTGAGTGCGGGCAGAGCTTCAAGCGCAACTCCCACCTCATAAGGCACCGGCGCATCCACATCGGGGAGAGGCCCTATGAGTGTCCCCAGTGTGCGAAGAGCTTCACCCAGAGCTCCCATCTGACTGTCCACCTCAGAAGCCACACCGGGGAGAGGCCCTACGAGTGTGATCAGTGCCAGAAGGGCTTTTACACCTCGTCTCAACGCCTCGTGCACCAGCGCATCCACACGGACGAGAGCCCCTTCCGCTGTCCCGATTGTGGGGTGGGATTCAAGCACAATTCAGCTCTGGTCACACACAGGAGGATCCACACCGGGGAGAAACCCTACATGTGTTCCCAGTGTGGGAAGAGCTTTTCTCGAATTTCCATATTGAGCAGACACCTACAGAGCCAGCACTGAAGGCAGCCCTGGGTGGGAAGAGCTCCACTGGCTTCTCCAGCTCCATCTCACACGGGAGGATCTGCTCTGGATGGTCCCCAGTGAGCCCAGGTGGGCAGAGCCCCTTGACTCCTGCTTGCAGCACACCTGGCTGGGGGCTCCACATCCTCCTGGCTCCTCGTGCCCTGTATTTCCTTTTTATTTCTCCTTGGTATTTTTATACACGTTTCTAAATCCGAGGTTAATAATAAAGACGTTGAGCCAAGATGAGGATGTGGACATGGGGGGATCTTCCAGGGGATGAGGGGGATGCTGAGTCCATGGAGTTGAGGGTTCCTGGGACATATTTGGGGGTTCCTCAGGGCTTCGGGCACCCCAGGCCCAGCAGCTCCATCTGGGGCAGCAGATCAAGGACCCCCTGCCCTGGCAGTGTCCCCACGTCCTCCCGTCCTGGTTCCTGCTGTCCCCTGCCCAGGATCCTGCTCTCATCCGAGTCCAGATCCCATTCCTGTCTCAATACTTGTCCCTGTCCCATATTCTCTATCCGGTTGCCATTCCCGTATTCCCTGTCCTGTTCCCATTTTCCTGTTCCAGTCCCCAATTCCCATTTCTCTATTTACTGTTTTGTTCTCCTTTTCCTATTCCAGTCCCTAATTCCTATTTCTCCATTCCCTGTCCCGTTCCCATTTTCTGATTCCTGATCCCAATCCCAGCCCCTCTCCTCTATTCCCAGTCCAGTATTCACACTCCTGTCACGGACATATTTTACTAAAGAATCCTTTCCTTAGGATCTTTTCCTCCTGAGGCGCTGAGAGACCTCAAGAATGAAAATTAAACACTAATGATCTGCTGCTGTGGAATGCGGCAATTTCGCCGTGATTGCTTTAATATAGTTATTTTTAATTACTGAACAATTAAAATTGGACTCTCTCAGGTCTCTGTTCACTCATCAGATTTTATCATAATAATTTTCTATTATTTTCTACCTTTCCGATGAAATCCTTGTGTTCTATAAATCTGGTATAATTTTAATATAGCAGTTTCTTGTAATATATCAATAATAAAGTAATAAATTAGCTTTATGACAAAAAAAGAAATCATGGAGTCGAAATTTTCATTTCTTCCGTCATCTTGGGACCCCTGAGACCACCACAGGATCCCTTTTCCGTTCCTGGTCCCCATTTCCATTCGCATTCCCGGTCCCCATTGCCGCTGCCGGTCCCTGGCGATTGCGTCACCGAGCAAAGCCCGCGCTCCTCCCCCCCACCAATCCCAGCGCGCGATCGCTCTCTGATTTGCATAACCACGCCCAGGCTCCCCGCCTGTATTTTGGTGCCGGCGCTGCCCGGGCCGGGCTCGGAGCGGAGGAGGAGCGGGAGGAAGAGGAGGGGGAGAAGGAGGAGGAGGAAGAGGAGGGACAAAGGAAGAGGAGGGAGAAAGGAATAGGAAGCGCGGGAAAAAGCGGCGCCGCAAGACCACGCGGTTCCCGCGCTCCGGCCGCAGCTGCCCCGGCCCCGCCGGCATCGCCCCCCGGAGGCCGCAGGTGAGCGGAGATGGGGAGCTCGGCCCGACCCCATCGCGGGGGTGTCCGGGAGGGTTTTTGTGGGGCAGGGGAGGCAAATCCCATCGTGTCCTTGTCCCCATGGGGGCAAATCCCATCGTGTCCTTGTCCTTGCTCCCCCCGAGCAGGAGCTGAGCATGGAGAGCAGCGAGGAGCTGGTGGCAGAGGCCGTTTGGAGCGGCTCCACGGCTCGGCAGGGAGAAGCCAACGGGGAGGAGAAGCCGCGGAGATCCCTGAGCAGGAGGGGCTGCAAAGGCAGAGCGCGGGGATCCGAGGGGGCAAGAGCCGGCCTGGGCCATGGAGGGGCTCAGAGATCCGAGCTGGGGCTCCATGAGCAGCTCCAGGATGCGGAGGAGAAGCCCCACAAGTGCTCCCAGTGTGGGAAGAGCTTCAAGCGGAGATGTGACCTGTTGCGGCATTGCAGAATCCACACGGGGGAACGACCCTACGAGTGTGATGTGTGCAAGAAGAGGTTCCTGAGCAGCTCCCATCTGCTCCGTCACCAGCGGATTCACACTGAGGAGCGGCCGTTCCGCTGTCCTGATTGTGGGAAGGGATTCAGGGAAAATTCCAATCTCACCACCCACCGGCGCATTCACAGTGGGGAGAGACCATATGAGTGTGATCAGTGCAAGAAGAGGTTTCAGAGCAGCGGTGAACTTCGCAAGCACCAGCGCATCCACACGGGGGAGAGGCCCTACGATTGTCCCCAGTGTGGCAAGAGCTTCACCCATAGCTCCAGCTTGACTTTCCACCTGAGGAGGCACACGGGGGAGAAGCCCTACGAGTGTGATGAATGCCATCAAAGGTTTTACACAAACTCCAGTCTTGTCAGTCACCAGCGCACTCACACCGTCGAGCGGCCATTTTGCTGTCCTGATTGTGGAAAGGGATTCAGGCAAAGGTCCAGCCTCGCCATCCACCAGCGAATCCACACTGGGGAGAGGCCGTACGAGTGTGACCAGTGCCAGAAGAGGTTTCGGAGCAGCGGTGATCTCGTGGGGCACCAGCGCTCACACACAGACGAGAGGCCCTTCCAGTGCCCCGACTGCGGGAAGAGCTTCAAAAGCGTCTCCAACCTCAACAGGCACCGGCGCATCCATTCCGGGGAGAGGCCCTACGAGTGCGGTCAGTGCCAGAAGAGGTTCCTGACCAGTTCCGAGCTCCTCAGCCACCAGCTCATTCACACCAAGGAGAAGCCGTTCCACTGCCGTGAGTGTGGGAAGGGATTCAGGCGCAACTTTGCTCTCATCGTCCACCGGCGCATCCACACCGGGGAGAGACCCCACGAGTGTCCCCAGTGTGGGAAGAGCTTCAGAGACAGGTCCCATCTGACTGTCCACCTGAGGAGCCACGCTGGGGAGAGGCCCTATGACTGTCCCCAGTGTGGGAAGAGTTTCACCCAGAGCTCCCATCTGACTGTCCACATCAGAAGCCACACCAGGGAGAGGCCCTACAAGTGTGATCAGTGCCAGAAGGGCTTTTACACCTCGTCTGATCTCCTCGTGCACCAGCGCATCCACACGGACGAGAGGCCCTTCCGCTGTCCCGAATGTGGGGTGGGATTCAAGCACAACTCAGCTCTGGTCAGACACAGGAGGATCCACACTGGGGAGAGACCCCACAAGTGTTCCCAGTGTGGGAAGAGATTTTCTCAAGTTTCCCACTTGACCAGACACCTGCAGAGCCAGCACTGAGGGCAGCCCTGGGTGGGCAGAGCTCCGTGCGCTGCTCCAGCTCCATCTCACACGGGAGGATCTGCTCTGGATGGTCCCCAGTGAGCCCAGGTGGGCAGAGCCTCCTTGACTCCTGCTTGCAGCACACCAGGCTGGGGGCTCCACATCCTCCTGGCTCCTCGTGGCCTGGTTTTTCTTTTTATTTGTCTTTGTTATTTTTATACACCTTTCTAACTCTGAGGGTCATAATAAAGACGTTGAACCAAGACGAGTATGGGGACATGGGGGGATCTTCCAGGGGATCAGGGGGATGCTGGGCCAGAGGGAGTTGAGGGTTCCTGGGACATATTTGGGGCTTCCTTAGGACTTTGTGCACCCCACGGTCCCCATTCCGGGTCTCCATTCCCATTCCCGCTCCTTCTCCCCAGTCTGGGTCCCCATTCCCTGCCTCCATTCCATGTCGTCATTCCAGATCGCTGTCCCCAATACTGGTCTCCATTTCCTGTTCCCATTTGTGGTCCGCATTGCCGGTCCCCATTCCCTGTCCCCAGTCGCGCTCCCTGTCCGCATTCCTGGTTCCATTCCCAGTCCCCATTCCTTGTCCTGATTGCCAGCAAAGCCCCATTCCCGGTCACCATTCCCTGTCCCGATTCCCGGTCTCCATTCCCGGGTTTCCCGGTCCCCATTCCCCGCCCTTGTTCCCATTCCCGGTCCTTTTCCCCAGTCTGGGTCCCTATTCCCGGTCCCCATTCCCTGTGCCGATTCCCGGTATCCATTCCCGCTCCGCTCTCTCCGGACGCTTCAGCCCCCGCCTCCCGCCATGACGTCGCCGGGCAAACCCCGCGCTCCTCCCGTCCACCAATCGCAGCGCGCGATCGCTCTTAGATTTGCATAACCACGCCCATTTAGGCCGGCCCCTCCCGCCGCCCGGCGCTGTTCGCTCCCAGCGCTCCCAGTAAGAGCGGCACCGGCAGGGAAAGCGCTCCCAGTTCCCTCCCAGCGCTCCCAGTAAGATCGGCACCGGCAGGGAAAGGGTTCCCAGTTCCCTCTCAGCGCTCCCAGTTCGCTCCCAGCGCTCCCAGTTCGCTCCCAGTTCGCTCCCAGCGCTCCCAGCGCTCCCAGTTCCCTCCCAGTATCGCTGCCAGTATTGCTCCCAGCGCTCCCAGTTCCCTCCCAGCGCTCCCAGTTCCCTCCTAGTATCGCTCCCAGTATCGTTCCCAGTGCAGAGAGGAGGGAGAGAAGGAGGAGCGGGAGGAAGAGGAGGGACTGAGGAGGAAGGAAAGGAGGAGCAGGAGCGCGAGAGGAGGAGGAAGAGGAGGAGGAGGGACACGGGAGGAGCAGGAGGAGGAAGAGGAGGGACAGAGGAAGAGGAGGAGCGGGAGGAAGAGCGGCCGCATCACCCCCGGAGCTCGCAGGTGAGCACGGATGGGGGAGCTCGGTATAACTGGGAGCGATACTGGGAGCGATACTGGGAGCGCTGATTTATTATTTTGTATTAGTTATTATTTATTATTTTTAGGGCTGATTTAGTATTTTATGATGTATGTTTCATTTAAATGTTTTATTTTATGATAAATATTATATTAAAAGAAAATTATATATTAAAATTATTATAATATATATTAGTTATAATATATTTTTATTTCATGATATATGTTATATTAAAATAAAAATAAATTTTCAGACTATATGTATTAATTAGAATTATAGTTTTTAATGATATACATTAAAAGATAATTATTTATTCAAACTATAGATATTAATAGAGATCTTAATTAAAATTATACTTATTATTTTATTATATATATTGTAAAAAGAGAAAATTATTTAATAAAACAACATATCTTATTTAAAAATATATTTGTTATTTTATGCTATATATTATATTAAAAGACAACCATATAGTAAAATATATACATTAAGATATTAATTAAATGCATTTATTATCTTTTTATATTTTACTTCATTTAAAGAGAATTATATATTGAAACTTATATATTAATTTAAATTATATTTTTAAGATATATATTGTATTTAAAGAAAATAATATATTAAAAGTTTATATATTAATATAGATATTAAGTAAAATTGTATATATAAAGATATATATTAAAAGAAAATTATACATTAAAACCATACCAAAAAAAGAAGAAAAGATTTCGTTAGAAGGCTCAAAAGAAAAAAACCCTGAAAGGAATGATAACAAAAGCTGCTGACCCTGAGAGAATCCGAGCCTGCTCCCCGTGATTGGCCATGCTTTAAAAACAAATTAAATATAAATTAAAAACACCCAGCGCGGCCCAATCCCGGCCGCGGCTGTTGCATTCCACAGCCGCAGATAATTCTTGTTTATCTTTTCCCCAGAGGCTCCTCAGCTGCTCAGGAGAGGGGAAAAAACCCTAAAAAAAGAGATTTTTCAGGAAATCTTGAGGAAGGCAGGGCCCCTTTTAACCCTCTGTGTGCTGGGGCAGCTGCCAGCATGGCCTGGGGGGGAAAAAAGGGGGGTGGGGGCAAATCCTGTCCTGGGATGGGGGAAAATCCCAAATGCCGTCCTGAATTGTGGGGCAAATCCCATCGTGTCCTTGTGGGGCAAATCACAAATCTCACCCTGAATTGTGGGGCAAATCCCATCCTGGGATGGGGGCAAATCCCAAATCCCACCCTGAATTGTGGGGCAAATCCCATCGTGTCCTTGTCCCTACGGGGGCAAATCCCATCGTGTCCTTGTCCTTGCTCCCCCCGAGCAGGAGCTGAGCATGGAGAGCAGCGAGGAGCTGGTGGCAGAGGCCGTTTGGAGCGGCTCCACGGCTCGGCAGGGAGAAGCCAACGGGGAGGAGAAGCCGCGGAGATCCCTGAGCAGGAGGGGCTGCAAAGGCAGAGCGCGGGGATCCGAGGGGGCAAGAGCCGGCCTGGGCCATGGAGGGGCTCAGAGATCCGAGCTGGGGCTCCATGAGCAGCTCCAGGGTGGGCAGGAGAAGCCCCACAAGTGCTCCGAGTGTGGGAAGAGCTTCAGGAGGAGATCCTGCCTGATTGTGCACCAGAGAATCCACACGGGATCTGAGGGGGAAAAACCAGCCCTGGACCAGGGTCAGAGCTCAGAGCTGGGGCTCCATGAGCAGCTCCAGGGTGGGCAGGAGAAGCCCCACAAGTGCTCCGAGTGTGGGAAGAGCTTCAAGCGGAGATGCGACCTGATACAGCATTGCAGAATCCACACGGGGGAACGACCCTACGAGTGTGATGTGTGCAAGAAGAGGTTCCTGAGCAGCTCCCATCTGCTCCATCACCAGCGGATTCACACCGGGGAGAGGCGCTACGAGTGTGGTCAGTGCCAGAAGAGGTTCCTGAGCAGCTCCCATCTCCTCCGTCACCAGCTCATTCACACCGAGGAGAGGCCGTTCCACTGCCGTGACTGCGGGCAGCGCTTCAGGCACAACTCCCACCTCATCGTCCACCGGCGCATCCACACCGGGGAGAGGCCACACGAGTGTGCCCAGTGTGGGAAGGGGTTCACAGAGAGCTCCACCCTGACTGTGCACCTGAGAACCCACACTGGGGAGAGGCCCTATAAGTGTCCCCAGTGTGGGAAGAGTTTCACCCACAGCTCCAGCCTGACTGTCCACCTCAGAAGCCACACAGGGGAGAGGCCCTACGAGTGTGATCAGTGCCAGAAGGGCTTTTACACCTCGTATGATCTCCTCGTGCACCAGCGCATCCACACGGACGAGAAGCCCTTCAACTGTCCTGATTGTGGGCAGGGATTCAAGAAGAAGTCAACCCTCGTCAAACACAGGAGGATCCACAGCGGAGAGAGACCCTACAAATGTTCCCAGTGTGGGAAGAGGTTCATAGACAGCTCCAGCCTGACTGTCCACCGGATGATCCACACTGGGGAGAGGCCCTACGAGTGTGATCAGTGCCAGAAGGGCTTTTACACCTCGTCTGATCTCCTCAAGCACCAGCGCATCCACACGGACGAGAGGCCCTTCCGCTGTCCCGAATGTGGGGTGGGATTCAAGCGCAACTCAAATCTGGTCACACACAGGAGGATCCACACTGGGGAGAGACCCCACAAGTGTCCCCAGTGTGGGGAGGGATTCACCTCGAGCTCCAACCTGACTGTCCACCTGAGGAGCCACACCGGGGAGAGGCCCTATGAGTGTCCCCAGTGTGGGAAGAGCTTCACCCAGAGCTGCAATCTGACTGTCCACCTCAGAAGCCACACCGGGGAGAGGCCGTACGAGTGTGGGGAATGTGGGAAGAGTTTCATGATCAAGCACACCCTGATTGTCCACCTGAGGAGCCACACAGGGGAACGACCCTACGGGTGTGACCAGTGCAAGAAGAGGTTTCGGAGCAGCGGTGATCTCGTGGTGCACCAGCGCTCACACACAGACGAGAGGCCCTTCCCGTGCCCCGACTGCGGGAAGAGCTTCAAAAGCGTCTCCACCCTCAACCAGCACCGGCGCATCCACACCGGGGAGAGGCCCTACAGGTGTGGTCAGTGCCAGAAGAGGTTCCTGACCAGTTCCGAGCTCCTCAGCCACCAGCGCATTCACACCGAGGAGAGGCCGTTCCACTGCCCTGAGTGTGGGAAGGGATTCAGACGCAACTCTGCCCTCATCGTCCACCGGCGCATCCACACCGGGGAGAGACCACATGAGTGTCCCCAGTGTGGGAAGAGCTTCAGAGACAGATCCAACCTGACTGTGCACCTGAGGAGCCACAGGGGGGAGAGGCCCTATGAGTGTGATCAGTGCAAGAAGAGGTTTCATGCTACATCCCATCTCCTCAAGCACCAGCGCATCCACACGGACGAGAGGCCCTTCCGCTGTCGTGATTGTGGGATGGGATTTAAGCAGAACTCAGATCTGGTCACACACAGGAGGATCCACACCGGGGAGAGACCCCACAAGTGTCCCCAGTGTGGGAAGAGCTTTTCTCGATTTTCCCACTTGACCAGACACCAGAAGAGCCTGCACTGAGGGCAGCCCTGGGTGGGCAGAGCTCCGTGCGCTGCTCCAGCTCCATCTCACACGGGAGGATCTGCTCTGGATGGTGCCCAGTGAGCCCAGGTGGGCAGAGCCCCCTTGACTCCGCCTTGCAGTACACCTGGCTGGGGGCTCCACATCCTCCTGGCTCCTCGTGGCCTGGATTTCCTTTTTATTTCTCTTTGGTATTTTTATACAGCTTTCTAAATCCGAGGTTAATAATAAAGACGTTGAACCAAGATGAGGATGTGCACATGGGGGGATCTTCCAGGGGATGAGGGGGATGCTGGGCCAGAGGGAGTTGAGGGTTCCTGGGATAGATTTGGGGGTTCCTCAGGGCTTGAGGCACCCCAGGCCCAGCAGCTCCATCTGGGGCAGCAGATCAAGGACCCCCTGCCCTGGCAGTGTCCCCACGTCCTCCCGTCCTGGTTCCTGCTGTCCCCTGCCCAGGATCCTGCTCTCATCCGAGTCCAGATCCCATTCCTGTCTCAATACTTGTCCCTGTCCCATATTGTCTGTCTGGTTGCCATTCCCGTATTTCCTGTCCCGTTCCCATTTTCTGATTCCTGATCACAATCCCAGCCCCTCTCCTCTATTCCCAGTCCAGTATTCACACTCCTGTCACTGGCACATTTTATTAAAACATCCTTTTCTTGGGATATTTTCCTCCTTAGAAGCTGAGAGGGCTCAGAAATTAAAATATAAACACTAATTATCTGCTGCTGTGGAATGCAGCAATTTTGCCTTGATTGGTTTCATGTGGTTGTTTTTAATTAATGACCACTTAAAATTTGGCTCTCTCAGACTCTCTATTCACTTACAAGATGTCATCATAATAATTTCCTAATATTTTCTAGCTTTCCGATGAAATCCTTGTGTTCTGTAAATCTGGTATAACTTTAATACAGAAGTTTCTTGTAATATATCATATCAATAATAAAGTAATAAATTAGCTTTCTGAAAAAAAAATCATGGAGTCGAAATTTTCATTTCTTCCGTCATCTTGGGACCCCTGAGACCACCACAGGGTCCCTTTTCCGTTCCTGGTCCGCATTTCCATTCGCATTCCCGGTCCCCATTGCCGCTGCCGGTCCTTGGCGATTGCGTCACCGAGCAAAGCCCGCGCTCCTCCCTCCCACCAATCCCAGCGCGCGATCGCTCCCGGATTTGCATAACCACGCCCTCGCTCCCCGCCTGCTTTTGGGTGCCGGTGCTTCCCGGGCCGGACTCGGAGCGGAGAAGGAGCGGGAGGAAGAGGAGGAGGAGGAGGAAGAGGAGGGACAAAGGAAGAGGAGGGACAAAGGCAAAGGAAGCGCGGGAGGAAGAGGCGCCCCAACATCACGCGGTTCCCCCGCTCCGGCCGCAGCTGCCCCGGCCCCGCCGGCATCGCCCCCCGGAGGCCGCAGGTGAGCGGAGAGGGGGAGCTCGGCCCGACCCCATCGCGGGGGTGTCCGGGAGGGTTTTTGTGGGGCAGGGGAGGCAAATCCCATCGTGTCCTTGTCCCCACGGGGGCGAATCCCATCGTGTCCTTGTCCCCACGGGGGCAAATCCCATCGTGTCCTTGTCCCCACGGGGGCAAATCCCATCGTGTCCTTGTCCTTGCTCCCCCCGAGCAGGAGCTGAGCATGGAGAGCAGCGAGGAGCTGGTGGCAGAGGCCGTTTGGAGCGGCTCCACGGCTCGGCAGGGAGAAGCCAACGGGGAGGAGAAGCCGCGGAGATCCCTGAGCAGGAGGGGCTGCAAAGGCAGAGCGCGGGGATCCGAGGGGGCAAGAGCCGGCCTGGGCCATGGAGGGGCTCAGAGATCCGAGCTGGGGATCCATGAGCAGCTCCAGGATGGGGAGAAGACGCCCCACAAGTGTTTGGAATGTGGGAAGAGCTTTATGTTCAGATCGAAACTGATCGAGCATTGCAGAATCCACGCGGGCGAGAGGCCCTACAAGTGTGGGGTGTGTGGGAAGAACTTCATGCTGAGTTCCGACCTGGTTGCCCACCTGAGGAGCCATACTGGCGAGAAGCCATACAAATGTGATCAGTGCAAGAAGAGGTTCCTGCGGAGCTGCCATCTCCTAAAGCACCAGCGCATTCACAGTGAGCAGAAGTCGATCCGCTGCCCTGATTGTCGGAAGAGTTTCAAGCACAACTCTGCCCTCATCTTCCACCGGCACATCCACACCGGGGAGAGGCCCTACAAGTGTGATCAGTGCCAGAAGAGGTTTCAGAGCAGCTCCCGGCTCCTCAGTCACCAGCGCATTCACACCAAGGAGCGGCCGTTCCACTGTCCTGATTGTGGGAAGGGATTCAAGCACGACTCCGCCCTTGTCATCCACCGGCTCATTCACACCGGGGAGAGGCCCTATGCGTGTGATTGCTGCAAAAAGAAGTTTTACAGAATGTCCAATCTCCACAAGCACCAGCGCATGCACACGGACGAGAGGCCCTTCCAATGCCCCGACTGCAAGAAGGGATTCAAGCGCAGCTGTGCCCTGATCATCCACCGGCGCATACACACGGGGGAGAGGCCCTACAAGTGTGATCAGTGCCAGAAGAGGTTTCAGAGCAGCTCCCAGCTCCTCAGACACAAGCGCATTCACACTGAGGACAGGCCGTTCCACTGCCTTCATTGTGGGAAGGGATTCAAGCACAAGTCTACCCTTGTCATCCACCGGCGCATCCACACCGGGGAGAGACCGTACCAGTGTCCCCAGTGTGGGAGGTGCTTCACCACAAGCAGCAGCATGACCAGACATCTACAGAGCCAGCAGTGAGGGCAGCCCTGGGTGGCCAGAGCTCCGTGCGCTGCTCCAGCTCCATCTCACACGGAAGGATCTGCTCTGGATGGTGCCCAGTGAGCCCAGGTGGGCAGAGCCCCCTTGATCCATGTTTGGAGCACACCTGGCTGAAGGCCCCACATCCTCCTGGCTCCCCCTGGATCTCTCTTGTGGAGAGCAGATTTGTCTACTTCGGACCCAGAACAATCTTGGTTTTTGATCTTGTGGTAGTTTAAGCAACACTAAATTGCCTTGGATGTCTTCTCCACCATCAATCCCCATGGGAGGATCTGCTCTGGATGGTCCCCAGTGAGCCCAGCTGGACAGAGCCCCCTTCATCCCTATTGAGAAGACACCTGGCTGGGGGCTCCACATCCTCCTGGCTCCCCGTGGTCACCTGAACTCATCCACACTACAAGATCAGAAATCCATTATGGAGAGCACGTTTGTCAACCTTCTGACCTCAGAAAAATTTTTTTCATAATTTTTTCCGTCATTTTTTACAACTTATGGTGGCCTTCAGCAACACTAGATAGGTTTGGATGTCTTCTCCACCATGGGAGGACCTGCTCTGGATGGTCCCCAGTGAGCCCAGGTCGCAGTATTAAGGACGTTGAACTGAACCAAGGATGGGCATGAGGGGGATGCTGGATCCATGGAGCTGAGGGTTCCTGGGACAGATTTGGGGGTTCCTCAGGGCTTTGGGCACCCCAGGCCCAGCAGCTCCATCTGGGGCAGCAGATCAAGGACCCCCTGCCCTGGCAGTGTCCCCACGTCCTCCCGTCCTGGTTCCTGCTGTCCCCTGTGCAGGATCCTGCTCTCATCCGAGTCCAAATCCCATTCCTGTCTCAATTCTTGTCCCTGTCCCATATTCTCTATCTGGTTGCCATTTCTCTATTTCCTGTTTTGTTCTCCTTTTCCTATTCCAGTCCCCAATTCCCATTTCTCTATTCCTCCCCCCCTTCCAATTTCTCAATCCTGATCCCAATCCCAGCCCCTCTCCTGTATTCCCAGTCCAGTATTCACACTCCTGTCACTGGCACATTTTATTAAAAAATCCTTTCCTTGGGATATTTTCCTCCTGAGAAGCTGAGAGGCCTCAGAAATTAAAATATAAACACTAATTATCTGCTGCTGTGGAATGCAGCATTTTCGCCTTGATTGGTCTAATGGGGCTGTTTTTAATTACTGACCTATGAAAATTTGGCTCTCTCAGACTCTCTGGTCACTCACAAGATTTTATTATCATTCCTTTGTATTCCTTTCAAGCTGTAATATGACATCGTTTTCTCTATTCTTTTACTAGAGTTTTAAAATAGCATTTTTTTTGATATAATATATCGAATAATACAATAGTAAATGAGCTTTCTTAAAATAAAAAAATGGAGTCAAAATTTTAATCTCTTCCCTCATCCTTGTAGCCCAGAGAACACAACAGGGTCCCTTTTCCTTTCCCGGTCCCTGTCCCCATTCCCAATCCCCGTCCCAGCCATGACGTCACCGCGCAAAGCCCGCGCTCCTCCCGCCCACCAATCCCAGCGCGCGATCGCTCCTGGATTTGCATAACCACGCCCTCGCTCCCCGCCGGTTTTTGGGCGCCGGCGCTGCCCGGGTCGGAGTCGGAGCGGAGGAGGAGCGGGAGGAAGAGGAGGGGGAGAAGGAGGAGGAGGAAGAGGAGGAACAAAGGAAGAGGAGGGACAAAGGAAGAGAAAGGACAACGGAAAAGTAGGAGTGGGAGGAAGAGGAGGGACAAAGGAAGAAGGGGGGCAAAGGAAGAAGAAAAGCGGAACGAAGAGGAGGGACAAAGGAAGAGGAGAGACAACGGAAGAGGAACACCGGGAGGAAGAGGCGCCCCAACCCCAAGCGGTTCCGCGCTCCGGCCGCAGCTGCCCCCGCCCCGCCGGGATCGCCCCCCGGAGGCCGCAGGTGAGCGGAGAGGGGGAGCTCGGCCCGACCCCATCGCGGGCGTCTCCAGGAGGGATTTGTGGGGCAGGGGAGGCAAATCGCATCGTGTCCTTGTCCCCACGGGTGCAAATCCCATCGTGTCCTTGTCCGTGCTCCCCCCGAGCAGGAGCTGAGCATGGAGAGCAGCGAGGAGCTGGTGGCAGAGGCCGTTTGGAGCGGCTCCACGGCTCGGCAGGGAGAAGCCAACGGGGAGGAGAAGCCGCGGAGATCCCTGAGCAGGAGGGGCTGCAAAGGCAGAGCGCGGGGATCCGAGGGGGCAAGAGCCAGCCTGGGCCATGGAGGGGCTCAGAGATCCGAGCTGGGGCTCCATGAGAAGCTGCAGGGTGGGCAGGAGAAGCCCCAAAAGTGCTCCGAGTGTGGGAAGAGCTTCAAGTGGAGATGCGACCTGATGCAGCATTGAAGAATCCACACAGGGGAACGACCCTACGAGTGTGGGGAATGCGGGAAGACCTACATGTCCAAGTGCCACCTGATTTACCACCAGAGGAGCCACACGGGGGAACGACCCTACCAGTGTGAACAGTGCCAGAAGAGGTTTCGGAGCAGCGGTGATCTCGTGGTGCACCAGCGCTCACACACAGACGAGAGGCCCTTCCAGTGCCCCGACTGTGGGAAGAGCTTCAAAAGCGTCTCCGACCTCAACAGGCACCGGATGATCCACACTGGGGAGAGGCCCTACGAGTGTGGTCAGTGCCAGAAGAGGTTCCTGAGCATCTCCCATCTGCGCCGTCACCAGCTCATCCACACCGAGGAGAAGCCGTTCCACTGCCGTGAGTGCGGGCAGAGCTTCAGGCGCAACTCCAACCTCATCGTCCACCGGCGCATCCACACCGGGGAGAGATCCCACAAGTGTCCCCAGTGTGGGAAGAGTTTCACCCTGAGCTGCAATCTGACTGTCCACCTCAGAAGCCACACCGGGGAGAGGCCCTACGAGTGTGATCAGTGCAAGAAGGGCTTTTACACCTCGTCTGAACTCCTCGTGCACCAGCGCATCCACACGGACGAGAGGCCCTTCCGCTGTCCTGATTGTGGGGTGGGATTCAAGCGCAACTCAACTCTGGTCACACACAGGAGGATCCACACTAGGGAGAGACCCCACAAGTGTCCCCAGTGTGGGAAGAGCTTTTCTCGATTTTCCCACTTGACCAGACACCAGAAGAGCCTGCACTGAGGGCAGTCCTGGGTGGGAAGAGCTCCGTGCGCTGTTCCAGCTCCATCTCACACGGGAGGATCTGCTCTGGATGGTCCCCAGTGAGCCCAGGTGGGCAGAGCCCCCTTGACTCCTCCTTGCAGCACACCTGGCTGGGGGCTCCACATCCTCCTGGCTCCTCGTGGCCTGTATTTCCTTTTTATTTCTCCTTGTTATTTTTATACACCTTTCTAAATCCGAGGTTAACAATAAAGACGTTGAACCAAGATGAGTATGTGGACATGGGGGGATCTTCCAGGGGATGAGGGGGATGCTGGGCCAGAGGGAGTTGAGGGTTCCTGGGAGAGATTTGGGGCTTCCTTAGGACTTTGGAAACCCCACGGTCCCCATTCCCTGTTCCCATTCCCATTCCCGCTCCTTATTCCCAATCTGGGTCTTTAATACTAGTCCCCATTCCCGGTCCCCATTCCCGGCCCCTGTCCTCAATAATTGTCCACATTCCTTGGCCCCATGCCCTGTTCCGATTTCCTGTCCCCATTCCCGTTCCCCATTCCCTGTCCCCAATCCCGCTCCGTGTCCGCATTCCTGGTTCCTTTCCCATTCCCAGTCTCCATTCCTTGAGCCGATTCCCGGTCCCCATTCCCGGTCCCTGTTCCCAGTCCCGGTCCCCATTCCCGCTCCGCTCTCTCCGTACTCTCCAGCTGCACCCCTCGCCATGACGTCACCGAGCACAGCCCGCGCTCCTCCCCCCCACCAATCCCAGCGCGCGATCGCTCAGGGATTTGCATAACCACGCCCTCGCTCCCCGCCTGCTTTTGGGTGCCGGCGCTGCCCGGGCCGAACTCGAGCGGAGGAGGAGCGGGAGGAAGAGGAGGGGGGGAAAGAAGTAGCAGGAAGAGAAGGGACAAAGGAAAAGGAGGGACAAAGGAAGAGGAGGGACAACGGAACAGGAACACCTGGAGGAAGAGGCGCCCCAACACCACGCGGTTTCCCCGCTCGGGCCGCAGCTGCCCTGGCCCCGCCGGCATCGCCCCCCGGAGCCAGCAGGTGAGCGGAGAGGGGAAGCTCGGTCCGACCCCATCGCGGGGGTCTCCGGGAGGGTTCTCTGTGGGGCAGGGGTGGCATATCGCATCGTGTCCTTGTCCCCATGGGGGCAAATCCCATCGTGTCCTTGTCCCCATGGGGGCAAATCGCATCGTGTCCTTGTCCCCACGGGGACAAATCCCATCGTGTCCTTGTCCTTGCTCCCCCCGAGCAGGAGCTGAGCATGGAGAGCAGCGAGGAGCTGGTGGCAGAGGCCGTTTGGAGCGGCTCCACGGCTCGGCAGGGAGAAGCCAACGGGGAGGAGAAGCCGCGGAGATCCCTGAGCAGGAGGGGCTGCAAAGGCAGAGCGCGGGGATCCGTGGGGGCAAGAGCCAGCCTGGGCCATGGAGGGGCTCAGAGATCCGAGCTGGGGCTCCATGAGCAGCTCCAGGGTGGGCAGGAGAAGGCTCACAAGTGCTCCGAGTGTGGGAAGAGCTTCAGGTGGAGATCCTGGCTGATGAAACATTGCAGGATCCACACCAGGGAGCGACCCTACAAGTGTGATAAGTGCCAGAAGAGGTTTCGAAGCAGTTCTGATCTCGTACAGCACCAGCGCTCACACACAGATGAGAGGCCCTTCCAGTGTCCCGACTGCGGGAAGGGCTTCAAAAGCGTCTCCCACCTCAACAGGCACCGGCGCATCCACACCGGGGAGAGGCCCTACGAGTGTGGTCAGTGCCAGATGAGGTTACTGAGCAGCTCCCATCTCCTCCGTCACCAGCTCATTCACACCGTGGAGAGGCCGTTCCACTGCCGTGAGTGTGGGAAGGGATTCAGACAGAACTCCAACCTCATCGTCCACCGGCGCATCCACACCGGGGAGAGACCCCACGAGTGTCCCCAGTGTGGGAAGAGTTTCACCAAGAGCTCCCACCTGACTGTCCACCTAAGAAGCCACACTGGCGAGAGGCCCTATGAGTGTGATCAGTGCCAGAAGGGCTTTTACACCTCGTCTGAACTCCTCAGTCACCAGCGCATCCACACGGACGAGAGGCCCTTCCGCTGTCCCGAATGTGGGGTGGGATTCAAGCGCAACTCAGCTCTGGTCACACACAGGAGGATCCACACCGGGGAGAGACCCCACAAGTGTTCCCAGTGTGGGAAGAGCTTTTATCGAATTTCCCGCTTGAGCAGACACCTACAGAGCCAGCACTGAGGGCAGCCATGGGTGGGAAGAGCTCCGTGTGCTGCTCCACCTCCATCTCAGACGGGAGGATCTGCTCTGGATCGTGCCCAGTGAGCCCAGGTGGGCAGGGCCCCTTGACTCCTGCTTGCAGCACACCTGGCTGGGGGCTCCACATCCTCCTGGCTCCTCGTGGGCTGGATATTCTTTTTTTCTCTCCTTGTCATTTTTATACACATTTTTTAATCCGATGTTAATAATAAAGACAGCTAAGCAAGATGAGGATGTGGAAATGGGGGGATCTTCCAGGGGATGAGGGGGATGCTGGGACAGAGGGAGTTCAGGATTCCTGGGACTGATTTGGGGTTTCCTTAGGACTTTGGGAACCCCACGGTCCCCATTCCCTGTCCCCATTACCATTCCGGCTTCTTATCCCCAGTCTGGGTCCCCATTCCCTGCCTCAATTCCCGGTCCCCATTCCAGCTCCGCTCTCTGCGGACGCTCCAGTTCCTGCCCCCGCCATGACGTCACTGAGGAAATCCCGCGCTCCTCCCTCCCACCAATGCCTGCGCGCGTTCGCTCTCTCATTTCCATAACCACGCCCTCGCTCTCCGCCCGTATTTTGGTGCTGGCGGTGCACGGGCGGGGAAAGAAGGAGGAGGAGGAAGAGGAGGGACAAAGGAAGAGGAGGGACAAAGGAATAGGAAGCGCGGGAAGAAGACGCGCCCCAACACCACGCGGTTCCCCCGCTCCGGCCGCAGCTGCCCCGGCCCCGCCGGGATCGCCCCCCGGAGCCCGCAGGTGAGCGGAGAGGGGGAGCTCGGCCCGACCCCATCGCGGGGGTCTCCGGGAGGGTTTTTTGTGGCAGGGGAGGCAAATCCCATCGTGTCCTTGTCCCCACGGGGGCAAATCCCATCGTGTCCTTCTCCTCATGCGGGCAAATCCCATCGTGTCCTTGTCCTTGCTCCCCCCGGGCAGGAGCTGAGCATGGAGAGCAGCGAGGAGCTGGTGGCAGAGGCCGTTTGGAGCGGCTCCACGGCTCGGCAGGGAGAAACCAACGGGGAGGAGAAGCCGCGGAGATCCCTGAGCAGGAGGGGCTGCAAAGGCAGAGCGCGGGGATCCGAGGGGGAAAGAGCCAGCCTGGGCCATGGAGGGGCTGAGACATCCGAGCTGGGTCTCCATGAGCAGCTCCGGGGTGGGCAGGAGAAGCCCCACAGGTGCTCGGAGTGTGGGAAGTGCTTCAAGAGTAGATCCAACCTGACTGTCCACCTGAGGAGCCACACGGGGGGAACGACCCTACGAGTGTGATCAGTGCCAGAACAGCTTTTACACCTCATCTGATCTCCTCGTTCACCAGCGCATCCACACGGACGAGAGGCCCTTCCGCTGTCCCGAATGTGGGGTGGGATTCAAGCACAACTCAACTCTGGTCAGACACAGGAGGATCCACACCGGGGAGAGACCCTACAAGTGTCCCCAGTGTGGGAAGAGATTTTCTCAAGTTTCCATCTTGAGCAGACACCAGAAGAGCCAGCACTGCGGGCAGCCCTGGGTGGGAAGAGCTCCGTGCGCTGCTCCAGCTCCATCTCACACGGGAGGATCTGCTCTGGATGGTGCCCAGTGAGCCCAGGTGGGCAGAGCCTCCTTTACTCCTGCTTGCAGCACACCTGGCTGGGGGCTCCACATCCTCCTGGCTCCTCGTGGCCTGGTTTTTCTTTTTATTTGTCTTTGTTATTTTTATCCACCTTTCTAACTCTGAGGGTAATAATAAAGACGTTGAACCAAGACGAGTATGGGGACATGGGGGGATCTTCCAGGGGATCAGGGGGATGCTGGGCCAGAGGGAGTTGAGGGTTCCTGGGACATATTTGGGGCTTCCTTAGGACTTTGTGCACCCCACGGTCCCCTTTCCGGGTCCCCATTCCCATTCCCGCTCCTTCTCCCCAGTCTGGGTCCCCATTCCCTGCCTCCATTCCATGTCGTCATTCCAGATCGCTGTCCCCAATACTGGTCTCCATTTCCTGTTCCCATTTGCGGTCCGCATTGCCGGTCCCCATTCCCTGTCCCCAGTCCCGCTCCCTGTCCGCATTCCTGGTTCCATTCCCAGTCCCCATTCCTTGTCCTGATTGCCAAACAAAGCCCCATTCCCGGTCACCATTCCCTGTCCCGATTCCCGGTCTCCATTCCCGGGTTTCCCGGTCCCCATTCCCCGCCCTTGTTCCCATTCCCGGTCCTTTTCCCCAGTCTGGGTCCCTATTCCCGGTCCCCATTCCCTGTCCCGATTCCCGGTCTCCATTCCCGCTCCGCTCTCTCCGGACGCTTCAGCCCCCGCCTCCCGCCATGACGTCGCCGGGTAAATCCCGCGCTCCTCCCGTCCACCAATCGCAGCGCGCGATCGCACCGGGATTTGCATAACCACGCCCATTTAGGCCGGCCCCGCCCGCCGCCCGGCGCTGTTCGCTCCCAGAAAGAGCGCCACCGGCAGGGAAAGCGCTCCCAGTTCCCTCCCAGCGCTCCCAGTAAGATCGGCACCGGCAGGGAAAGGGTTCCCAGTTCCCTCTCAGCGCTCCCAGTTCCCTCCCAGCGCTCCCAGTATCGCTCCCAGCGCTCCCAGTTCCTCCCAGCGCTCCCAGTTCGCTCCCAGTTCGCTCCCAGCGCTCCCAGCGCTCCCAGTTCCCTCCCAGTATCGCTGCCAGTATTGCTCCCACCGCTCCCAGTTCCCTCTCAGCGCTCCCAGTATCGCTCCCAGTATCGCTCCCAGTGCAGAGAGGAGGGCGAGAAGGAGGAGCGGGAGGAAGAGGAGGGACTGAGGAGGAAGGAAAGGAGGAGCAGGAGCGCGACAGGAGGAGGAAGAGGAGGAGGAGGGACACGGGAGGAGCAGGAGGAGGAAGAGGAGGAGCGGGAGGAAGAGCGGCCGCATCACCCCCGGAGCCCGCAGGTGAGCGCGGATGGGGGAGCTCGGTCTTACTGGGAGCGCTGGGAGCGCTGGGAGCGGTACTGGGAGCGCTGGGAGGGAACTGGGAGCGCTGATTTATTATTTTGTATTTGTTATTATTTATTATTTTATAGGGCTGATTTAGTATTTTATGATGTATATTACATTAAAATGTTTTATTTCATGATAAATATTATATTAAAAGAAAATTCTATATTAAAACTCTCTCTATTGTAATATATATTAACTTAAAATATATTTTTAATGATATATATTATATAAAAATAAAAATAAATTTAAAGATTATACATATTAATAGGAATTATAGTTGTTATTTTATGATATATATTAAAATATAATTATTTATTAAAACTATAGATATTAATAGAGATCTTAATTAAAATTATATTTATTATTTTAATATATATATTCTAATAAGAGAAAATATTTTAATAAAACAATATATCTTACTTAAAAATATATTTGTTATTTTATGCTATATATTATATTAAAAGACAACCATATACTAAAAATATATACAATTATATATTAATGAAAATGTATTTATTATCTTTTTATATTCTATTATATTTAAAGAGAATTGTATATTGAAACTATCTAAACTAATACATTAATTGAAATTATATTTTTAAAATGTATATTGTATTTAAAGAAAATAATATATTATAACTGTATGTATTAATATAGATATTTATTAAAATTGTATATATAGAGATATATTTTATATGAAAAGAAAATTTTACATTAAAACCGTACTAAAAATAGAAGAAAAGATTTCTCTAGAAGATTTAAAAGGAAAGAATCCTTAAAGGAATGATAACAAAAGCTGCTGACCCTGAGAGAATCTGAGTCCGCTCCCCGTGATTTGCCATGAATTAAAAACAAATTTAAAACAAATTAAAAACACCCAGAGCGGCCCAATCCCGGCGGCGCCTGTTGCATTCCACAGCCGCAGATAATTCTTGTTTATCTTTTCCTCAGAGGCTCCTCAGCTGCTCAGGAGAGGGGAAAAAACCCTAAAGAAAGAGATTTTTCAGGAAATCTTGAGGAAGGCAGGGCCCCTTTTAACCCTCTGTGTGCAGGGGCAGCTGCCAGCCCGGCCTGGGGGGGAAAAAGGGGGGTGGGGGCAAATCCTGTCCAGGGATGGGGGCAAATCTGAAATGCCGTCCTGAATTGTGGGGCAAATCCCATCGTGTCCTTGTGGGGCAAATCACAAATCCCACCCTGAATTGTGGGGCAAATCCCTTCCTGAACTTGTGGGATAAATCCCATCCTGAATAGTGGGGCAAATCCCAAATCCCAAATCTCATCCTCAGCTGTGGGGCAAATCCCATCGTGTCCTTGTCCCCACGGGGGCAAATCCCATCGTGTCCTTGTCCCCACGGGGGCAAATCCCATCGTGTCCTTGTCCTTGCTCCCCCCGAGCAGGAGCTGAGCATGGAGAGCAGCGAGGAGCTGGTGGCAGAGGCCGTTTGGAGCGGCTCCACGGCTCGGCAGGGAGAAGCCAACGGGGAGGAGAAGCCGCGGAGATCCCTGAGCAGGAGGGGCTGCAAAGGCGGAGCGCGGGGATCCGAGGGGGCAAGAGCCAGCGTGGGCCATGGAGGGGCTCAGAGATCCGAGCTGGGGCTCCATGAGCAGCTCCAGGGTCGGGAGGAGAAGCCCCACAAGTGCTCCGAGTGTGGGAGCAGCTTCAGGAGGAGATCCAACCTGAATGCCCACCTGAGGAGGCACACGGGGGAGAAGCCCTACGAGTGTGATGAATGCCATCAGAGGTTTTACGCCAATTCCCATCTCGTCCGTCACCAGCGCATTCACACCGACGAGCGGCCATTTTGCTGTCCTGATTGTGGAAAGGGATTCCGGCAAAGGTCCGACCTCGTCATCCACCAGCGAATCCACACTGGGGAGAGGCCCTATGAGTGTGGGGAGTGTGGGAGGAGCTTCAGAGAGAGCTCCAGCCTGACTGTCCACCTGAGGAGCCACACCGGGGAGAGGCCCTACGAGTGTGATCAGTGCCAGAAGAGGTTCCTGACCAGCTCCGAGCTCCTCCGTCACCAGCTCATTCACACCGAGGAGAAGCCGTTCCACTGCCGTGAGTGTGGGAGGGGATTCAGGGACAACTCTGCCCTCATCAGGCACCGGTGCATCCACACTGGGGAGCGGCCCTACGAGTGTCCCCAATGTGGGAAGGGCTTCAGAGAGAGCTCCAGCCTGACTGTGCACCTGAGGAGCCACACTGGGGAGAGGCCCTATGAGTGTGATCAGTGCCAGATGAGGTTCCTGAGCAGCTCCCATCTCCGCAGTCACCAGCTCATTCACACCGAGGTGAGGCCGTTCCACTGCCGTGAGTGCGGGCAGGGTTTCAGACGCAACTCCAACCTCATCACCCACCGGCGCATCCACACTGGGGACAGAACCCACGAATGTCCCCAGTGTGGGAAGGGATTCAGAGAGACCTCCCACCTGACTGTGCACCTGAGGAGCCACACCGGGGAGAGGCCCTACGAGTGTGATCAGTGCCAGAAGAGCTTTTACACCTCGTCTGTTCTCCTCAAGCACCAGCGCATCCACACGGACGAGAGGCCCTTCCGCTGTCCCGATTGTGGGGTGGGATTCAAGCACAACTCACATCTGGTCACACACAGGAGGATCCACACCGGGGAGAGACCCTATGAGTGTCCCCAGTGTGGGAAGAGCTTCACCCAGAGCTCCAACCTGACTGTCCACCTGAGGAGCCACACCGGGGAGAGGCCCTACGAGTGTGATCAGTGCCAGAAGAGCTTTTACACCTCGTCTGTTCTCCTCAAGCACCAGCGCATCCACACGGACGAGAGGCCCTTCCGCTGTCCCGATTGTGGGGTGGGATTCAAGCACAACTCAACTCTGGTCAGACACAGGAGGGTCCACACTGGGGATAGACCCCACGACTGTCCCCAGTGTGGGAAGAGCTTCTCTAAAACCTCTGCCTTCACCAGACACCTACAGAGCCAGCACTGAGGGCAGCCCTGATTGGGCAGAGCTCCGTGCGCTGCTGCAGCTCCATGTCACTCAGGAGGATCTGCTCTGGATGGTGCCCAGTGAGCCCAGGTGGGCAGAACCCCCTTGACTCCTGCTTGCAGCACACCTGGCTGGGGACTCCACATCCTCCTGGCTCCTCGTGGCCTGGATTTCCTTTTGATTTCTCTTTGTTTTTTTTATACACCTTTCTAAATCCGAGGTGAAGAATAAAGATGTTGAACGAATACCAGGATGTGGACTTGGGGGAGATCTTCCAGGGGATGAGGGGGATGCTGGGCCAGGGGGAGTTGAGTGTTCCTGGGACAGATTTGGGGCTTCCTTAGGACCTAGGGAACCCCATGGTCCCCATTCCCTGTCCCCATTCCCGGTCCTTATCCCCAGTCTGGGTTCCTATTCCCTGCCTCCATTCCTTGTCCCCATTCGTGGTCCCTGTCCCAAATACTGGTCCCCATTCCCTGTTCCCATTCCTGGTCTGAATTCCCGTTCCCCATTCCCTGTCCCCAATCACGCTCCCTGTCCGCATTTCCGGTTCCATTACCAGTCCCCATTCCTTGTCCCGATTCCTGGTCCATGTCTCCATTCCCGGTCACCGTTCCCATTCCCGTTCCCCATTCCCATTCCTATTCCCGGTCCCCATTCCCGGTCCCCATTCCCGGTCTCCATTCCCGCTCCGCTCTCTCCGGACGCTTCAGCCCCCGCCTCTCGCCATGACGTCGCCGGGCAAACCCCGCGCTCCTCCCGCCCACCAATCGCAGCGCGCGATCGGTCTTGGATTTGCATAACCACGCCCACTCAGGCCGGCCCCTCCCGCCGCCCGGCGCTGTTCGCTCCCAGCGCTCCCAGTTCCCTCCTAGTATCGCTCCCAGTATCGCTCCCAGTGCAGAGAGGAGGGAGAGAAGGAGGCGCGGGAGGAAGAGGAGGGACTGAGGAGGAAGGAAAGGAGGAGCAGGAGCGCGACAGGAGGAGGAAGAGGAGGAGGACGGACACGGGAGGAGCAGGAGGAGGAAGAGGAGAGACAGAGGAAGAGGAGGAGCGGGAGGAAGAGCGGCCGCATCACCCCCGGAGCCCGCAGGTGAGCGCGGATGGGGGAGCTCGGTCTTACTGGGAGCGCTGGGAGCGATGCCAGGAGCGATACTGGGAGCGCTGGAAGGGAACTGGGAGCACTGGGAGCGGTACTGGGAGCATTGGGAATGAACTGGGACGACAGATCTATTAATTTCTATTAGTTATTATTTACTATTTTATAGGGCTGATTTATTATTTTTTTGATATATATTACACAAAAAATAATTTTTTTATGGTGTATATTATATTAACAGAAAATCGTATATTAAAGTTATATATATTAATATAATAATTAAAATGTATTTATTTTCTTTTTATTAATATAATAATTAAAATGTATTTATTATCTTGTTATATTCTATCATATTTAAAGAAAATTATATATTAAAACTATATATTTATATAATAATTTAAGTTATATTTTTAAGATATATATTCTACCTAAAGAAAATTATATATTAAAACTCTATGTATTAATATAGATATTAATTAAAATTGTATATATAAAGATATATATTAAAAGAAAATTATACATTAAAACCATACCAAAAAAAGAAGAAAAGATTTCGTTAGAAGGCGCAAAAGGAAAAAACCCTGAAAGGAATGATAACAAAAGCTGCTGAACCTGAGAGAATCCGAGCCTGCTCCCCGTGATTGGCCATGAATTCAAAACAAATTAAATACAAATAAAAAACAACCAGTGCGGCCCAATCCCGGCCGTGCCTATTGCATTCCACAGCTGCAGATAATTATTGTTTATCTTTTCCCCAGACGCTCCTCAGCTGCTCAGGAGAGGGGAAAAAACCCTAAAAAAAGAGATTTTTCAGGAAATCTGGAGGAAGGCAGGGCCCCTTTTAACCCTCTGTGTGCTGGGGCAGCTGCCAGCCCGGCCTGGGGGCGAAAAAAGGGGGGTGGGGGCAAATCCTGTCCAGGGATGGGGGCAAATCCCAAATGCCGTCCTGAATTGTGGGGCAAATCCCATCGTGTCCTTGTGGGGTAAATCCCATCCTGAATTCTGGGGCAAATACCAAATCCCAAATCTCATCCTCAAATGTGGGGCAAATCCCATTGTGTCCTTGTCCCCATGGGCGCAAATCCCATCCTGTCCTTGTCCCCACGGGGGCAAATCCCATCGTGTCCTTGTCCCCATGGGCGCAAATCCCATCGTGTCCTTGTCCCCATGGGGGCAAATCCCATCGTGTCCTTGTCCCCACGGAGGCAAATCCCATCGTGTCCTTGTCCTTGCTCCCCCCGAGCAGGAGCTGAGCATGGAGAGCAGCGAGGAGCTGGTGGCAGAGGCCGTTTGGAGCGGCTCCACGGCTCGGCAGGGAGAAGCCAACGGGGAGGAGAAGCCGCGGAGATCCCTGAGCAGGAGGGGCTGCAAAGGCAGAGCGCGGGGATCCGAGGGGGAAAGAGCCAGCCTGGGCCATGGAGGGGCTCAGAGATCCGAGCTGGGGCTCCATGAGCAGCTCCAGGGTGGGGAGGAGAAGCCCCACAAGTGCTCCGAGTGTGGGAAGAGCTTCAGGTGGAGATCCAACCTGACTGTCCACCTGAGGAGCCACACGGGGCAGAGGCCCTACGAGTGTGATCAGTGCCAGAAGAGGTTTGTGACCAGCTCTGATCTCCTGGTGCACCAGCGCTCACACACAGACGAGAGGCCCTTCCAGTGCCCCGACTGCGGGAAGCGCTTCAAAAGCGTCTCCGACCTCAAGAGGCACCGGCGCATCCACTCCGGGGAGAGGCCCTACGAGTGTGGTCAGTGCCAGATGAGGTTCCTTAGCAGCTCCAAGCTCCTCCGTCACCAGCTCATCCACACCGGGGAGAGGCCGTTCCAGTGCTGTGACTGTGGACAGAGTTTTAGACGCAACTCCCACCTCAACAGTCACCGGCGCATCCACACCGGGGAGAGGCCCTATGAATGTCCCCAGTGTGGGAAGAGTTTCAACCAGAGCTCCCATCTGACTGGTCACCTCAGAAGCCACACCGGAGAGAGGCCCTACGAGTGTGATCAGTGCAAGAAGGGCTTTTACACCTCGTCTGATCTCCTCAAGCACCAGCGCATCCACACGGACGAGAGGCCCTTCCGCTCTCCTGATTGTGGGGTGGGATTCAGGCAGAATTCAAGTCTGGTCAGACACAGGAGGGTCCATAGTGGGGAAAGACCCTACAAGTGTTCCCAGTGTGGGAAGAGCTTCTCGCAGAGCTCAGAGCTGGTGTCCCACCAGAAGATCCACACCAGGGAGAGACTCCACATGTGTCCCCAGTGTGGGAAGAGCTTCTCTAAAACCTCTACCTTGACCAGACACCAGAAGAGCCAGCACTGAGGTCAGCCCTGGGTGGGAAGAGCTCCGTGGGCTTCTCCAGCTCCATCTCACACGGGAGGATCTGCTCTGGATGGTCCCCAGTGAGCCCAGGTGGGCAGAGCCCCTTCACTCCTGCTTGCAGCACACCTGGCTGGGGGCTCCACATCCTCCTGGCTCCTCATGGCCTGTATTTCCTTTTGATTTCTCTTTGTTATTTTTATACACCTTTCTATATCCGAGGTTAATAATAAAGACGTTGAACCAAGATGAGGATGTGGACATGGGGGGATCTTCCAGGGGATGAGGGGGATGCTGGGCCAGAGGGAGTTGAGGGTTCCTGGGACTGATTTGGGGTTTCCTTAGGACTTTGGGCACCCCATGGTCCCCATTCCCTGTCCCCATTCCCGCTCCTTCTCCCCAGTCTGGGTCCCCATTCCCTGCCTCCATTCCCTGTCCCCATTCCCGGTCCCTGTCCCCAATACGGGTCCCCATTCCCTGATCCCGTTCCTGGTCCGCATTACCGGTCCCCATTCCCTGTCCCCAATCCCGCTCCCTGTCCACATTCCCGGTTGCATTTGTATTCCCAGTCCCCATTCCTTGTCCCTATTCCCGGTCCCCATTCCCATTCCCGTTCTCCATTCCCGGTCCCCTTTCCCGCTCCGCCCTCTCCGGACGCTCCGGCTGCCCCCCCGCCATGACGTCACAGAGCACACCCTGCGCTACTCCCTCCCACCAATCCCAGCGCGCGATCGGTCTTGGATTTGCATGACCACGCCCTTACCTTTCCTGTATTTTGGATTCCGGCGCTGCCCGGGCGGGACTCGGAGCGGAGGAGGAGCGGGAGGAAGAGGAGGGGGAGAAGGAGGGGGAGGAAGAGGAGGGACAACGGAACAGGAACACCGGGAGGAAGAGGCGCCCCAACACCACGCGGTTCCCGCACTCCGGCCGCAGCTGCCCCGGCCCCGCCGGGATCGCCCCCCGGAGCCCGCAGGTGAGCGGAGAGGGGGAGCTCGGCCCGACCCCATCGCGGGGGTCTCCGAGAGGGTTTTTTGTGTGGCAGGGGAGGCAAATCCCATCGTGTCCTTGTCCCCACGGGGGCAAATCCCATCGTGTCTTTGTCCCCATGGGGGCAAATCCCATCGTGTCCTTCTCCCCATGCGGGCAAATCCCATCGTGTCCTTGTCCCCACGGAGGCAAATCCCATCGTGTCTTTGTCCCCATGGGGGCAAATCCCATCGTGTCCTTCTCCCCATGCGGGCAAATCCCATCGTGTCCTTGTCCCCACGGGTGCAAATCCCATCGTGTCCTTGTCCTTGCTCCCCCAGAGCAGGAGCTGAGCATGGAGAGCAGCGAGGAGCTGGTGGCAGAGGCCGTTTGGAGCGGCTCCACGGCTCGGCAGGGAGAAGCCAACGGGGAGGAGAAGCCGCGGAGATCCCTGAGCAGGAGGGGCTGCAAAGGCGGAGCGCGGGGATCCGAGGGGGCAAGAGCCAGCCTGGGCCATGGAGGGGCTCAGAGATCCGAGCTGGGGCTCCATGAGCAGCTCCAGGGTGGGCAGGAGAAGCCCCACAGGTGCTCCGAGTGTGGGAAGAGCTTCAGGTGGAGATCCAACCTGACTGTCCACCAGAGGAGCCACACGGGGCAGAGGCCCTACGAGTGTGATCAGTGCCAGAAGAGGTTTGTGACCAGCTCTGATCTCCTGGTGCACCAGCGCTCACACACAGACGAGAGGCCCTTCCAGTGCCCCGACTGCGGGAAGGGCTACAAAAGCGTCTCCCACCTCAACAGGCACCGCCGCATCCACACCGGGGAGAGGCCCTACGAGTGTGGTCAGTGCCAGAAGAGGTTTCAGAGCAGCTCCCATCTCCTCAGCCACCAGCTCATTCACACCGAGGAGAAGCCGTTCCACTGCCGTGAGCATGGGAAGGGATTCAGGCACAACTCCAAACTCATCGTCCACCGGCGCATCCACACCGGGGAGAGACCCCACGAGTGTCCCCAGTGTGGGAAGATTTTCACCCACAGCTCCAGCCTGACTGTCCACCTGAGAAGCCACACTGGGGAGAGGCCCTACGAGTGTGATCAGTGCCAGAAGGGCTTTTACACCTCGTCTGATCTCCTCAACCACCAGCGCATCCACACGGACGAGAGGCCCTTCCGCTGTCCCGATTGTGGGGTGGGATTCAAGCTGAACACAAATCTGGTCACACACAGGAGTATCCACACCGGGGAGAGATCCCACAAGTGTTCCCAGTGTGGGAAGAGCTTTTCTCGAATTTCCCGCTTGACCAGACACCTACAGAGCCAGCACTGAGGGCAGACCTGGGTGGGAAGAGCTCTGTGTGCTGCTCCAGCTCCATCTCACACGGGAGGATCTGCTCTGGATGGTCCCCAGTGAGCCCAGGTGGGCAGAGCCCCCTTGACTCCTGCTTGCAGCACACCTGGCTGGGGGCTCCACATCCTCCTGGCTCCTCGTGGCCTGGATTTCCTTTTTATTTCTCCTTGGTATTTTTATGCACCCCTCTAAATCCGAAGTTAATAATAACGACGTTGAACCAAGAGGACGATGTGGACATGGGGGGATCTTCCAGGGGATGAGTAGGATGCTGGGCCAGAGGGAGGTGAGGGTTCCTGGGACAGATTTGGGGGTTCCTCAGGGCTTTGGGCACCCCAGGCCCAGCAGCTCCATCTGGGGCAGCAGATCAAGGACCCCCTGCCCTGGCAGTGTCCCCACGTCCTCCCGTCCTGGTTCCTGCTGTCCCCTGTCCAGGGTCCTGCTCTCATCCGAGTCCAGATCCCATTCCTGTCTCAATACTTGTCCCTGTCCCATATTCTCTGTCTGGTTGCCATTCCCGTATTCCCTGTCCTGTTCCCATTTTCCTGTTCCAGTCCCAAATTCCCATTTCTCTATTTCCTGTTTTGTTCTCCTTTTCCTATTCCAGTCCCTAATTCCCATTTCTCTATTTCCTGTCCTGTTTCCATTTTCCTATTCCAGTCCCTAATTCTTCTTTCTCTATTCCCTGTCCTGTTCCCATTTTCTGATTCCTGATCCCAATCCCAGTCCCTCTCCTGCATTCCCAGTCCAGTATTCACGCTCCTGTCACAGAAATATTGTATTAAAGAATCTTTTCCTTTGGATCTTTTCCTCTTGAGGAGCTGAGAGGCCTCAAGATTTAAAATAAACACTAATGATCTGCTGCTGTGGAATGCGGCAATTTTGCCTTGATTGCTTTAATATAGTTATTTTTAATTACTGAACAATTAAAATTTGACTCTCGCAGGTCTCTGTTCACTCATCAGATTTTATCATAATAATTTTCTATTATTTTCCAGCTTTCCGATGAAATCCTTGTGTTCTATAAACCTGGTATAATTTTAATACAGAAGTTTCTTCTAATATATTATATCAATAATAAAGTAATGAATTAGCTTTCTGAAAAAAAAATCATGGAGTCGAAATTTTCATCTCTTCTGTCATCTTGGGACCCCTGAGACCGCCACAGGGTCCCTTTTCCGTTCCCGGTCCTCATTCCCCGTCCCGATTTCCCGTTCCCGCCATGACGTCACCGAGCAAACCCCGCGCTCCTCACGCACCAATCGCAGCGCGCGATTCCTTCCTAATTTGCATAACCACGCCCTCGCTCCCCTCCTGCATTTGGGCGCCGGCGCTGCCCGAGCCGGACTCGGAGCGGAGGAGGAGCGGGAGCAAGAGGAGGGGTGAGGAAAGAAGGGGGAGGAAGAGGAGGGACAAAGGAAGAGGAGGGACAAGGAAAGAGGGGAGAGAAAGGAAACGGTAAAAGGAGAGACAAAGGAAGAGGCGGGACGAAGGAAGAGGAAGAGCGGGAGGAAGAGGCGGGACAAAGCAAGAGGAGAGAAAAAGAAAGAGGTAAAGGAGGGAGAAAAGAAGAGGAGGGACAACGGAAGAGGAGCACTGGGAGGAAGAGGCGCCCCAACACCACGCGGTTCCCGCGCTCCGGCCGCTGCTGCCCCGACCCCGCCGGCATCGCCCCCCGGAGGCCGCAGGTGAGCGGAGAGGGGGAGCTCGGCCCGACCCCATCGCGGGGGTCTCCGGGAGGGTTTTTGTGGGGCAGGGGAGGCAAATCCCATCGTGTCCTTCTCCGCACGGGGGCAAATCCCATCGTGTCCTTGTCCTTGCTCCCCCAGAGCAGGAGCTGAGCATGGAGAGCAGCGAGGAGCTGGTGGCAGAGGCCGTTTGGAGCGGCTCCACGGCTCGGCAGGGAGAAGCCAACGGGGAGGAGAAGGCGCGGAGATCCCTGAGCAGGAGGGGCTGCAAAGGCAGAGCGCGGGGATCCGAGGGGGAAAGAGCCAGCCTGGGCCATGGAGGGGCTCAGAGATCCGAGCTGGGGCTCCATGAGCAGCTGCAGGGTGGGCAGGAGAAGCCCCACAAGTGCTCCGAGTGTGGGAAGAGCTTCAGGAGGATATCCTGCCTGATTGTGCACCAGAGAATCCACACGGGATCTGAGGTGGAAAAACCCACCCTGGACCAGGGTCAGAGCTCAGAGCTGGGAGTCCATGAGCAGCTCCAGGGTGGGGAGGAGAAGCCCCACAAGTGCTCCGAATGTGGGAAGAGGTTCACCAGGAAATCCTACCTTACTGTCCACCTGAGGAACCACACAGGGGAACGACCCTATGAGTGTGATCAGTGTAAGAAGAGGTTTCAGAGCAGTGGTGAGCTCCGCAAGCACCAGTGCATTCACACTGAGGAGAGGCCCTACGAGTGCGATCAGTGCCAGAAGAGGTTCCGGACCAGCTCCGAGCTCCACAGGCACCAGCGGATCCACACCGGCGAGAGGCCATTCCGCTGCCCTGATTGTGGGAAGGGCTTTAGGGGCAGCTCTGCCCTCATCTTGCACCTGCACATCCACACTGGGGAGAAGCCCTACGAGTGTGATCAGTGCAAGAAGAGGTTCCTGAGCATCTCCACCTTTGTTAAACACCAGATGATCCACACGGGGCAGAAGCCCTACGAGTGTGATGTGTGCAAGAAGAGGTTTCAGAGCAGCGCCACTCTTCGTGCGCACCAGATCATCCACACCGACGAGCGACCGTTCCGCTGTCCTGACTGTGGGAAGGGATTCAGGCACAACTGCCACCTCATCACCCACCGGCGCCTCCACACTGGGGACACACCCTACAAGTGTGGGGAGTGTGGGAAGGGCTTCACCTCAAGCTCCCACCTGACTGTCCACCAGAGGACCCACACCGGGGAGAGGCCCTACAAGTGTGATCAGTGCAAGAAGAGGTTCCCGAGCAGTGGGGATCTCCTCAAGCACCAGCGCATCCACACCAAGGAGAGGCCGTTCCGCTGTCCTGATTGTGGGATGGGTTTCAAGTACAACTCCGCCCTCATCGTCCACCAGAACATCCACACTGGGGAGAGACCCCGCGAGTGTCCTCAGTGTGGGAAGAGCTTCACCAACAACTCCAGCCTGGTTTAACACCTGAGGAGCCACACCGGGGAGAGGCCCCACGAGTGTGGAGAGTGTGGGAAGAGCTTCATGTACAAGTCCCACCTGATTTACCACCAGAGGAGCCACACTGGGGAACGACCGTACGAGTGTGACCAGTGCCAGAAGACGTTTCAGAGCAGCTCCCATCTCCACATGCACCAGCGCTCACACACGGACGAGAGGCCCTTCCGCTGCCCTGACTGTGGGAAGAGCTTCAGGCACAAGGCCGAACTCGTCGCCCACCAACGCATCCACACCGGGGAGAGGCCCTACGAGTGTGATCAGTGTGAGAAGAGGTTCCTGAGGAGCGCTTGTCTCCTCCGTCACCAGCTCATCCACACCGAGGAGAAACCGTTCCGCTGCCGTGACTGCGGGAAGGGCTTCACTCAGAAGAGCACACTCATCACCCACCGGCGAATCCACACCGGAGAGAGACCCCACGAGTGTCCCCAGTGTGGGAAGAGCTTTTGTCAAATCTCCAGCTTGACCAGACACCAAAAGAGCAAGCACTGAGGGCAGCCCTGTTTGGAAAGAGCTCCATGGGCTTCTCCAGCTCCATCTCACACAGGAGGATCTGCTCTGGATGATCCCCTTGAGCCCAGGTGGGCAGAGCCCCCTTGACTCCTGCTTGCAGCACACCTGGCTGGGGGCTCCACATCCTCCTGGCTCCGCATGGCCTGGATTTTCCTTTTATTTCTCTATGTTATTTTTATACACCTTTCTAAATCCGAGGTTAATAATAAAGATGTTGAACGAAGACAAGGATGTGGACATGGGGGGATCTTCCAGGGGATGAGGAGGATGCTGGGCCAGGGGGAGTTGAGGGTTCCTGGGAAAGATTTAGGGCTTGCCCAGGAATTTGGGCTCCCCATGGTCCCCATTCCGTGTCCCCATTACCATTTCTGCTCCTTCTCCCCAATCTGGGTCCCCGATACTGGTCCCCATTCCCAGTCCTTATCCCCAGGCTGGGTCCCCATTCCCTGCCTCCATTCCCTGTCCCCATTCCCGGTCCCTGTTTCCAATACTGGTCCCAATTCGCTGTTCCCATTCCTTGTCCGCATTCCAGGTCACCATTCCCTCTCGCCAATCCCGCTCCCTGTCCGCATTCACGGTTCCATTCCCAGGCCCCATTCCTTGTCCCCATTCCCGGTCCATGTCCCCATTCCCGGACCCGATTCCCATTCCCTGTCCCCATTCCCTGTCCCGATTCCCGCTCCCCATTCCCGCTCCCCATTTCCCGTCCCTGTTCCCATTCCCGGTCCCCATTCCCGGTCCGCTCTCTCCGGACGCTCCAGTTCCACCCCAGCAATGACGTCACCGAGCACACCCCGCGCTCCTCCCTCCAACCAATCCCAGCGCGCGATCGCTCCCGGATTTGCATAACCACGCCCTCACCCCCCCTGTATTTTGGTGCCGGCGCTGCCCGGGCCGGACTCGGAGCGTAGGAGGAGCGGGAGGAAGAGGAGGGGGAGAAGGAGGAGGAGGAAGAGGAGGGACAAAGGAAAAGGAGGGACAAAGGAAAGAGGACAGATAAAGGAAAAGGAAAAGGAGGGACAAAGGAACAGGAAGCGCGGGAGGAAGAGGCGCCCCAACCCCACGCGGTTCCCCCGCTCCGGCCGCAGCTGCCCCGGCCCCGCCGGCATCGCCGCCCGGAGGCCGCAGGTGAGCGGAGAGGGGGAGCTGGGCCCGACCCCATCGCGGGGGTCTCCGGGAGGGTTTTTTGTGAGGCAGGGGAGGCAAATCCCATCGTGTCCTTGTGCCCATGGGGGCAAATCCCATCGTGTCCTTGTCCCCATGGGCGCAAATCCCATCGTGTCCTTGTCCCCACGGGGGCAAATCCCAT